CTTTTAAAGCACAGTTTGATGCCAAACAGTGTGTGTAGAAATTCAAGGTTACAGAAAAAGAACTGAATTAGATTATCTGATCAGTTAAATATCGTATAAATACTGTATTTAAGAATCAAAGGGACAGTTGAAATGGGAAGAAGAGGAAGGACAGTCTTCTGATATATTGAATACTTCATAGTCACGTAAAAGCCTACTTTAGCCAAGCCAAAAGTAAACTACTGTAAATCTGTTATTTTCCCTTCTTCTGCCTCAGTGGGGCTCCAAATCCTAAAGGTTTTCATGTTAAATCCAATTCTGCACTCGAATACATTGCAATAGATCTTCTACTTCTCTCGCACCAGTTATTAATGCTCAGCAAAACTAAACTGCAAGAAAATGAATTGCAGATTTCAATACTGCTTATATTACTTATATTCAATTTTTCTTGAAGCACTCACAAGGCAAACAAATAACTCAAAGACCAGCTCCAAGCCCACTGAAGATTATGAGAGTTCTCCATTGGTTTAGAGTCTTTGAGTGGGCTCCTATAACTCACATAGCTTTGTGCTGATACAGGAGCACCACTACAAGGTAAGCATGTACTCTGATCCCACATCAAAATACTTACACTGCAGCACAATATTCAGTTATTCATTAGAATTAGCCAAGTGTTGAAGTCTTGAAAGTTTAAAAATCCCAGTGTTAGGATTCTCTGCCTTTATTCCCCAAAATGTGAAATGAAATCATCAGCAATTCTTGTCACTGCTACAGTTATGAAAATACTGAAGGTAGGAGTATTTTCTCTGGGAAAGTTGATAGAGGCACTTTTTGGCTAATAGGCAGCTTCACTTTGCATTGACAGCCTGGCAGTGACAGTCCCAGAGAAATGTAGGAGCTGGGGAAGCTACCATAGCCCTAATCATTCCCAGACAGCATGATGTTTTACATCTCACAGAAGAGATGTTTGCCCAAAATAACTTTATCAAGGTGCAAACAGCCCAGGTCTTTGCATAGAGTAGTTAGGAGGATTAGGCTGCCATGTGCTGCGTCAAATATGCTACAGATGCTTTAGAACCAGAGAATTCTAATGTCTGCTAAAATCAGTGATTTTTTTCCTCTTCTTTCTTTTTTTTCTCCATTAAAAAAATCAGTCATTTTGAGATCTATGCATACGTGCATGAAAACATATAGGTATTCACTGCTTTGATCCCCAGCTCACATGCACACACGCTCTCCCCCTTTTCAGCATTTTCTGCTGCAGCCTCACAGGAAAGCCTGCTCTCCTCTAAGTCCAATTGCCCAATTGAAAGATTCCAAGTGAGACAGAAGAGCATTCTCAGCCCAGACCCAGCCTCCCACTCACTAATTGGAGGCCATTCCCCATTTTGCAGAGCCTTGATGCTCCCCCATGGAGCACTCGGGACTGTGGGTTCCAGTGCTGGACTGTGGTGACAGCAGGAGAGTAAACAGAGCTGATAGAATTTGACAGGTCTATTCTTTTCTTAAAATCATTCAGTCTAAAAGATTTTCTTTTACATAATCCAAAGTGTTTTCTCATGAAGTAGGACAAATACTGCTCTGCATTTATGGTGCAGTTCAGATTTTATGCATTTTTATCAGAATTCGCCACTATTAAATGAGGTCAAATAATTCACTTTAAAGCTGCAGTAAAGAAATCACAAACAGGTTAAAAACTTCAGAGAACTCTGATCTTCGAGTTCAGAATGTTTAACAGAGATTAAAAGTAGTTTTTAAAAGGAGCTGACTTCCCAATAAAGGAGAAACTCTTACAATTCCTTTATTGGCACTAAGATAAATCCAATCTTTCTCAAAGGAAAAAAAAAAGGGGGCTTTTAAAAATGAGTTAAAGAATAATTCTCCCCATAATAAGGGTCTTTGTTAGGGTGGTGTGCTCTTCAAAGCACTGATACAGACTTAAATGTAAGCACCCAGAAACCTCTCTCATACACACCCCTCATTAAATACTGAATATTTCTTTACAAATATTTACACAGCCAACAAAACGTCCGGAGCAAAGAATGCTTTAATAAACAGCAAAACAGAGTTCCACAACCCTTCTTCCACAGTGGCTGAGGAGGGTATAACAAATCACTTGTTGAGCTGCAACGGGCTGCAGTGCAGTGTTTGCATTTTGAATAGAGAGAGGCTGATAGAAGAATACCTGCGGCTGAGCACTGGTACCCACAGAAATGCATGAAAACACCCTCAGGCTGGGAGGGAGGAGAGAACCTCTCACTCCTCATTTTAAAACAACAACAACAAAAGAAAAAAAAGGAAAAAAAAAGAGATCCTTTTCTTTATTGTAAGAGCCAGATCGTGTTATTATGTGTTTCTTGGAACTTGGCATCATGTGACAAGATGTAACCTAACTTAACCCAGCGCACTGTAATTCATGCAGAACTATCCCATGACTTCTAACAATGCCTTTGCATGATGAAAGATGTGTATTGGTATAGAAAAATTATCAGAGGCTGTTGGCAAAACCAGATTTGCTCTCACCAATATTGTTAGAACTAATATATATATAAACTAGTGCTTTGGAGTATTAGGTATGTACTTTGCTTGTCTTAATGAAAAATTTATCTGGTGCTTATTGCATGTGATTCAGTCTTTGCACAATAATGCAAAATGCAACCTGAAAGGAAACTCTTAGATAATTCTAAATTAACAATAATTGATCTACATGTTGTCTGGTAACACTCATACAGGAGACAGAGAGTGGAAGGTCAGCCCGTGGCTTGGAAGGTGCATTTAATATGGCTTAGCATCAAATTGCTTTAAATAGGAATCACTCTAAGTAAGCAATGAGTTATAGCTGCTCTCCACTTCGTTCAGCTCGAGAAGAGCAAGAGGAGCAAGAGAAATGACACAGCTGGCTTTTTAGAACAGGGTCGCATAAGGAAACGGTGAGAATCATTTGTGTGCCATCAGTTGGCAGGTTTTGGTGGTGCTGTGTGGTTCTCCATCAATAAAGCCCTCACCTGTACTCCTGGGCAGCGTGCTGGCTGTGCCCTGAGCTCCGGATGAGTCCTGACATCGTGGACGGGAGGTCGCTTTCTATCATCTCCTTAGGAAATTAAAAAAAAAAAAAAGAGGGGGGAGAGGGGTGGGAGAGGAAGAAATAAAACCGAAGAAAACATTTATGGGCACACACGCAGTAGCTATCCAGCACTTCAGCACGGGGAAGGGACCGACAAAATTCCAACCGAAAACCCCAAGCGATGGGAAAGCGGAACCAAAGGCGCCACCTCCGAGCGCGCTGCCCGCTCTTAGGCCACACAACCAGCTAAAAAACGCTGTCATAAGGGCCAAGCCAACGCGCTCGGCCATTCACCGCGAGCTCTGCCCCGAGCACCGCCCGGCGCTGCGGGCCTCCCTCAGGTGAGCGCAGCCCCGCCGTGCCCCAGGGCGGCCCCGAACCCGCGACCCCCGGATCCCACCAACCTGGCGGCCGTCAGAACGCGGCGCTGCGCGCCCTCGGGGGGGGGGGGCGGTTCGGTCCTCCTCGGGCGGTTCGGAGGGAGCCGTGCGGGGCCGGAGCTCCCCGTGGGCGCCGCGGCACAGCCGCCCTCCTGCCCCGATTTTAAATTTCCCTCTCAGGAGCTGTCCAGCCTGGAGCATGCGCGGCCGGGGGTCAGGGCCGGGGCAGGGCTGGGGAAGCGCGTTTCCTCAGAGCCCCCTTCAGCCCCCCCCCCCCAGCCCCTTTCCCTACGCCTCCCCTTGATCCCCCTCCGCACGGCGGGAGCGGGTCGTGACGAGAGAGAGAGGAAAAAAAAAAAAAAAAGAAGCGCAAGACGAACTTCTCGCAACTTTCCAGAGGGTTAAAAAAAAAAAAAAAAAAAAGAAAAAGGAGGAGGGAGAGAAGAGCGGGGGAAAAGAGGAGGAGGGGGGCGGCATTCAAACGTGCGGCGGCGGTTTGAGTGTCAGGAGGGGAAAATGAAATCTCTGAGGGGAGAACCGCCCGAGCCGGGCTCGCCCCGCCCGATGCCGTCCTGCTTTCCCCGCCGCTCGGCCCGCCGCCTCCGCCACCCCCCATCGGAGCCCGGGAAGCTGCCCGGGAGCGGCCGAGGAGGCGCGCGGAGCCCCGCGCGGAGCGGCGGACGCGGGGAGGCGCCGTGAGGCCGCCGCTGCGCGCGCCCTGGGCCGCCGCCTCACCGCCCTCGGTGCCCGCCTTTATCCGATCGGCATCTCCCCTCTCTTTTAGTTTGAAGCCGTTTCCCCTCGTCCTGTCACGGCAGACCATCAGAGGGGCAATCGCGGGAAATGTTGTCCAAATATCGGCAATACACCTGATTCGTTTCCCTCGTGCAGGTGATTTGCGCCCCTCCTGCTTCCAAGGGCCGGATTACCACAGGTATGGAGCAGGAAGGTGGTTGATAACCCATCTTACTCGCTAGGGGAGCTTAAACTGAAATGTGAAGGGATGAAGGGCTTAGTTCTGCAAACACGGAGTGCTTAGCAAGTTGCAGCAAGAAAGGTTCTGGTTGAATGTTACGAAGAAAGTTTTCACACGTGATCTCTAAAATAACACGATCTTCAGCAGTTAAATTCTTTCCTTCTCTGGAGTAACAGATAGCGGAAGAAAACTACAAAGAAAAGCAAGGAATGCACTTTGTAAAGGCATTGACTTCCTTGTCTGTGAATTTATCCTAAAATTAGCTTTAATTTCTGTGAATTATCATCTGAACTGTAGTAGCTTGCTTTGGACATTGAACTGAATCTGTTTTGCTATGAAGTGAGGTCACCATAAAACGGTTTTGTTTTATTTTCCCCACTCTCAAGTGTACTTCAGATGATTCAGTCAAAACTAACAAGAGAGAGTTGTGGAACCCTCAAAAGCCAAGATTTAGGATAACTCTGCAAAGACTTCAATCACTTCTGCATTCCACGTGGTCAGGCTTTAAAATCAAAGTGTTTCCCCTACCTCAGACCTGCTTAGACTGGGAGCCACAGTTGCCACATTAGGGTGCACATTAGGTGCCACATTAGCAGGGTTGGAAAACTGCATGATGTTAATACATCATCATTTTGGTACGAGGATGTTGGCTTGTCCTGACCCCCAGTCTTACTGCTCACATGGCACGTTTTCTGATTACAGTTTTCTTCCATCTTGGCCAAGCATCTGAAATGTTTTGAGAAAATAATTGTGTGAGTGAAGATCAGTGCCCTCTGCTTGGTGAAAAGAGGTGCTTCTCAAAGCAGTCGGTGCTTCTTAAAAAGAAGACATTTCCTTGCACGCTTAAAGCCAGCTTTGTTTCGTGTGGAAGAGTGGATCCTTTTGCCCTCCTTTGTCTACTTGGTGCTTTTACATCCCTCCTCATATAAAACTGAAATATTCTATTTATAACACAAACTGCAACTTCACTGTGCAAATTCTCAGTCCCCAGACAAGATTGCGAGTTCTTTATCCTTCATCCCCTGCTCAGTGCACAGACTCTGGGTTTGGTTTTGTATTCTTTCCCTCAGAAATAAAAAGCAGCTATTGCAGTTACCAAGATCTTTTCATGTCTACATGAAACCAATGTGAAAGTGGATTCTGTAAGACCCATTTTAACGCAGGCACTTGACAAGCTTCCTCCTCTCATTGCAGTGCAAAACTGACCGTTTGTTGTCGTTTGCCTTTTTTGGCTTTTTTTAAAATTTCTTTTAGAATACTGTATTGTAACAAATTACACTTAAAAATCATTTAGTGTGAAATTGCAGATTAATCCCATAGGGATGGGGTTTTAGCACTCGCCTGGCCACTTGGGAGCGTACAGATGGTGAATCTGAGTTCTACAATAGGCACAATCACTGATTACATGCATGGATGTAACGGACAAAAAGGCCCTTCCTCATGGCTAAGGTAAGGGAAACATTCTGGAGGTCCTAGTGCCTGACTTGCTCATTTCAAGATGCCTTTGCTGCTAGAAATTCTGTGTCCAGGTTAGTGAGGGTAAAGTGTGTCATCAGAAAGAGAAGCTTTGCTGGTAGCCCGACTTTATTTTATTGAGCATTATTTTCATTGCTATTATTTCAATTATATTTTTTGTTGACGCATTCAGATGTAGTTTTTAGGATGGCATATTACTGAGTAATTCTGGAGGTTAGGAAAAAATTGGAGATATAGCTGCTCAGCTTGCCAGCATCCTTCTTGTACTTCGATGAGTCTTAGGTTTAGGTGCTAAATGAAGCTATGCATTTGAAAGTAATATTTTTTGAGGCTGAGATGATCTCCCTGCTGTATTTCTAATGACAGCTGAGAGGATGGGCCTGGGGCTTCTACATGCCACTATAACACAGAATACAGAGCCATTATTATCTGCATTTTAAGAGCTGGCAAAGTCACAAAGGGAGTCCACTAGGAAACACAAACTGACGGTCTGCTCATAATTTATCCACTTAAACCAAAACACAGCACAGTTTTACCTTTGTGAGTGAATACAGCAGTATTTTGCCTTGATACGTATCTATTTGGGGGCAAACATTGTCTATAGATAGTGTAATTGTGCAATTACACACAATGTTATGGAGCAAGTGATGTGACGAGAGAATTCTGATTGGCTGATGTGTTTTCCAGCACTTCTGATGTCCATTGTAATGGCCTTTATCACAGCTTGTTAGCGAATTTTAACCCTCCAAATCTCATTAACAAGAGAGCGATCCCTGAGAAATGTAGCTTTCATACATATCTACTTAGCTTCCAGCAAAATAGTTACTTTCAGTGATGTAGGATCTAATATGAGACTGTAGAAATTATCAAAATCAGGACTGAGGCTAAAACTGCTTCCATGTGCCGTTCTATCATCTGTAGATACTGCGGTGTGTGACAGTCAGTGCCAGTGTGTGTGGAAGGTCATATTGCCAGAACTTTGATAGTTGATGGAAATACATCAGTGCGAAAGGCTGGGACAAAAAACCTGTTGTACTCTGAGTTTTGAATGCCTGCATTTGTGAAGCTAAGCCAAATCCTTGCATTATGTAAGCTTACCTGTTCATGCTTTTATTTTGCACTTTGGGGTAGAAAGTGCATATTTTTAACACCCACTGTTTATTCAATATGCTGCTGGCTGACGTATGTCATGTGTAACTGCAGTTAGCTATGGAAAGAGGCTGCAGACAAAATAGTCCATTTTGATCTCTTTATTGCTCTTTTTACAGCCAGAGAGCAGTGGAGAGAATTACAAGTAGATCTAGTCTGTTTCCTCCCCATAGTCGCGAGCTTTTCTATAAACAATATTCCTGATAGTTTTCATCAAATCTCCATGGATTGCACTGCACAAATAATCACAATGCTTTTATCTATACCTATTCTCACGTTAGGATTTTCCTCTTTGTATGTGGAAAGATGGGAAAGAAGAAGAATGGAAAGCTTTGCTTTTCTGCCGTAAGCACACAGCGTTTTGTCACAGAAGCAATGAACGTGAGGTTGTGTACGCAGCTCCTTTGGGAACTTGTGTCTCTCAGTGGCTGTTTGCTGCCTCAGCTGGAGGCACAGCTCAATCTTCAGCCTCGGCAAGACAAAGTCACAGATTTCTTTGTAGCTTCTGCAAATCATAAGGGTTATGTAACTGATTTGTCACTTGTATTGTACCTCATAACATCAAATCTGCTTTTATTTCAGTTATTCATGAACTTCGGGGGATTGCTGGGATTTCGGCGGATGTTTACAGCAGTGTGACTTTCCAGGTGGAAGAGTCCTGCAGATGCAAAACGTGACAGTTCCCACGAGGTCAGTGAGGTTATCCATGTGAGGTAAACATGTGCCTATTTTTCTAAGGATCTAAGACTAAAGATGTAAGAGTCCTCCTCTTAATAAGGCCATCACCAAATTAACATAATCAAGAAGAAGTCACTTCTATTATAACAGCTTCTCTGGCAGGTGTCCTGCTACCTCAACATCTCTGTTCTAAACAAAATCACAATTCAGATGAGCATTGTTTCATGTTTATGTGACACAGGAATCTAATTAAGCCATTTCTGCACCTTCCTTGACCATACTTTTAAATTTCCAGTAATTACAAGACACTACAGCACAGTTACGCTGTTTCATCAGATTTTAGGCTACGGGACTTAAAACTAACATTTTCAAAAGCATTTCATGGTTTGAAAGAATGGTCAATTAACCTTCAGTTTCCTGTGGGGAACCCTGCAAAGAACTGTCAACAGTTCAGTTTAGAGAGATTTGTCCAGTGACCTACAAGGCCACGAAGTTCACGAATGCATGTAACAGTGTCATCATAGATTTGTTTCCTGGGTTACTATCACAAGAGAATAAACCAATTGTTTGGCAGCTTCTGCTACAGTACCTAGCTGACCAAATGGGTGATGGGGAATTGCCCCAGCGCTGCGATGCGCTCCGGTGTAGCTTGTTCCAAACTAGACCAACTCAGCAGGAAAAAAAAGAAAACCTCCGGTATCTTCAAGATGAATTATGTGTCTCCTTCTCTTTCCTCTGTCATGTTTTTGTGGGGCCAGGGGGAATTCATCGACTGCCTGCTGAGTCTCTTTGTATTTCAGAACCTCTTCAAATGCCATTGAAAGATAAACGTTTGGTTTTTCTAGTGGTGACAGTCTTCAGCTTTAAGTGATGACAGCGTCTCACTTTTTATACCAAATTAAGGGCAGTTCTGTGGAGCAATAGAAATCGATTCTGAAGATGCACCCACTGAAAAGTCAGGCACACCGAGCTCTGTAGGATTATAGCATCAAGCTACAGTGGGCTGATATTAGTGTGAAACTGAAAACAAACCAAGAGTCCAGTCAAAAGAATCTGGTTTCACCAGGGAGGCAGAATTAACCATGTATAAGATTATCCTTTATGTTGGATGTAGTATGTGTGAAATCTAGCAGCTGGCATTTGGCTTTGCTTGATTTCAGTGCTATGTAAACGTGTAGCACTGTTTTGTAACCACATGGGGAACTGATTTCCTTTTCTCTCACTCAGCATCAGAATGCTATTCCTGGCCAACTTGGCAAATGGAAGGTTGATGTATTCATGCTTGCCTTTGCTGGTTGCCAGTCTTGTGGACTATTTCAGCTGTTTCCTATGCATGAATTTAAAACCATGTATTCTTCTGTGTATGTGGTTTTAGAAAAAGAAGCAACTCTCCATTGTGGCACTGTGCCACTGGGTGAAGTGAAAATCATTCAGAGTCACGTGAGTGTGAAGTTCTGACATTAAATCTGCTTTTCCCACCTTCTGTCATTTTGTCCCTCTCATAGCACTGGCACACCTAGCACTGTTCATGTCATGTGTCAGTGCTTCATGACTATAAATGCCCTCAGTAAATTTTAAAACACTCTAAGAAACCCTGAAGTTGAATATATAATCAGAAGGACTTGCTTAGGCATTGTTTTGCATATAGATCTGTATCTTTGATTAAGGTTTTTTTCATTTTGGTGTGCACCATTGTGTGAAGCCGTTTGTTTTATCACGCAGAACTCAGATTAGAATGCACTTTTGGATTTCAACCATTAATATAGAAATGTGATCAAAAATGGACTTCCTGAAATTGCAAAATACTTTTTAGTGTGCTCTAAAAACTAAGGAATTTCACAGTGTTTGCAGAATTTCTTTTAGTGCATAATATTTGGGTTTCGTTCTCTTCATTTGAAGCGAAGGTTTTAAAAAAGAAATCCAATCCAAATGCTGTTTCTCATCACTGTTTTCACTTCCTCATTGTTTCCTGTGAATACTGAGTACAGGTACTGTGAGAGATCAGATTCATTCTTTTTCATTTGTTTTGTGTTCTGTGTGGGAAAAGCAATTTTGAAGAAAATATGCAAAATAGATGGGTCCAAATTAGTTGTTGGGCAATAAATCTCTTACCACTGTCATTGACCATGTGTGTAATCTTGCACAGTCACAGATTTCCACATTTTCTGTATGGCTTTGCTAATTAAGGCAGTAACTCATTATTTCAGCTCGTGTCATAAACTTTTGCACACCGAGTCTTGGACTCAGTTAGACATCCAAGTTAGGAACAGCAGAACTAGAAACAAATTTACTGCGTGGTGATGAAAATGAAAATTTCACTTCCTCAGTAATTTGTTATTTGGAATTAAACACTGAAGCGACTGATTGGATGAGTTCTGCAAAATAAAATGAATAGCAGCATGATGTGGTGAGCTGTGGCTTGGTTAATTCTTCTGTAGAACCAACAATGTCTGCTATTACTGTGGTGGGGCTCCGTTAGCATTTTCACAAGACTTTCAGAGATTTTGATAGAAGAGGCTGTAGAAATGCAAAAATATCATCAAATTTTGTTGCTGCAATGAAGGAAAAAGAAATGAAATTTCCTTGAAGTGAAATCTAATCGTTAACACTTAAGAAAACTGAGACTTACAAGATGAGACCAAGACAGAGAGAGATGAGAATTTCACAGAATTTACCTCCTGGCATTGACCAAAGTCATAAAGCTCAACTGAGAATGAAGCTAACAAAACATTTGATTCTTCCAGCAGAGAGGTACAACAATAACTGTGGGCAGTAATGCTTTCTGTGGGTTAAAGTTGCGCATATACATACATTCCTGTATGTACACATGTGTATGTATAATAGATATACTGATGTGAAGTGTTGCTTGTGGAAAATAGTCTTCTTCCTGAGGTTCTTGTGCTGAGTGCAGGTGACACATACTGATACAGATAACAGAAGTCTCCAGAATCTCAGTACTTCTGTTCTCCCATGTGCTGTATGACATGAGCTGGGCATACTTCAGACTCTAGTAAACATGTACTTTTGTTTTTAACACTATGTCACTATAAGGATGGTAATTGACATCTATGCCCAGTTCCTTCCAGGTGTTACATGAGTGCACACAACCATGAGGCAGGCTCCAAAGATCCTCCTTGTATGTGTTAATTCCCATCTGCTGAGGATCTGCTGCTGTTAATTCCTACTGCTGAGCAGTACGGACCAAGCCAAGGAGGCTGTCACCCATAGCCAGTGCTTTTAACCAAGGAAAGACAATGGGAGAAGGGAACAAAACTTTGTGGTGCCAGTAGCACTGTGCTGTCTTGTAGTGACATGGTGCTCTGTAATGGCAGCAGAGAGTTCTTCATCGAGGTTCTTAGCATACAAGAAGGGAAGTATGAAGAAAAATAACATGCCCAGTCATAAATTTGCACATTCTTTCAGCACAAAGAGTAAATCGTGTTGTGGGGAAGCTCAAACGCTCAACCCTTCTTTCTTTCTTTCTTTGGGAGTCCCAGAGAACAGATTTAAAATGCAAAGCATGACTTTGCAGCCCATACATGTAAGGGGGAGGGGAACAGAGGATAAAATGCCATCAGCAGCACGTAGCACGAGCATCATTAGACATTGAGAAAGATATCATTAGATTAAAAAAGTGTCTTCACACAGAAACAAAAGGCAAGCCAAGGCACAGCACGTCAGCATTGCCCAACACGAACTTCAGAGTCATTGCTGTTGACAATGGATGCACAGGGAAGCTTTGCCTCGGAGAGGTTACGGATTCCAGGCAGGGTACAGGCGGTGCTAACAGACACTGGCTGTCATTCTAGCCGAATAAACAGCCAACAGTGCTCCACATCTCCCTCTCAGTTCAAGATTAATTACTCATCTAAAATGACAGCTACTGTCTAGTGCCTAAAAGTTGTCACGAGCCATATCACCCATTCATGTTTCCTCAAGGACACATGTCTTCATTCCTCACAGGCGCGTTTCTGAATTTGCCTGACTGGTCAGTTACATCTTTGAAAGTGCTTAGCAGAAGCTGACAAGTTTTTCCTATGTTTGTTGCTGGGGCTGAAGAGGAAGTAATCTGCTCGTCATAAGTAACGTCTGTCAATACAGCTGGGTTTCCTAATCCAAATATTCTTTCCTCCTTTTGGTTTTTATAATCTTTAAGTAAAACAAATCCTTTGCCATTTTAGTAAAATATTTGGAGCATCACATTGGAAAAATGCTGATCCTCTTGCACTCCTAAATAAGCTGGGCACTTATTTTCCAGTTCTTTCATCTCGTCAATTTTAGCCTTTCTGTGGTACATATTTTGTGGTTTAAAACGGGCAGCTTAATGACTAGATGAATTGCAATATATGCATGTTTAACAGAAGAAGAGAATCTATTGGGGTTATTCATGTGCTTTTGGATTTGATTTACTTCCTACTTCCTTATTTAATAACTAGGTTCCTTAAGACTCCTTAAGCTTGAGTGACCCATGTTTTGTTGCCAGGTCTATTCCAATGACCCCTGCCAAGACCCCTGCCCTAGTTCGTCTATCAGACAAAAATGAATCTATTCCAGGAACTATCAGTTCCCATTATCTCTAATTGAGCCTGACAGTTGGAGACAGGCCTCATTATTTTTAATTGGGCCCTATAGTTCTAGAGTTAAATTAAACACAATTTAATGCAGATAGCTCATATACATTGGCATGGCAGAGTCAAATTGTATTTTAAGTTTAATGAAACAAGGGTTTTTTATTCCAGGCTTCACTTTTACATAATTTTCTTGCTTTGAGCTTTGCGTTAGGTAGAACTTGTCTGTTGATACATACATACATGATGATACATACATACATTAGAGTCTGACCTGATCATGCACCTGTTGTACCTTACTGCTACATACACGACTCTGCAGAACTTGAAAATAGAGGCATGAGGGGCTGATGAAGAACTCCTTATTCTCCTATAAACTCAGCCCTATTTTAAACACATTTGTCACTGGTCGTGCAAACATAAGAAACTCCTAAGTGTTTTCCCCAAACTCCTCACTGGAAATTTTATTTAGGACTTGAAAATGAAGTTGTCTGTGTAACCCTGAACAAAGGCATTATTACCACATCGCAACAGAGCATCTCTTCTCTTTCTATCAGAAAGCCAGCATTTTTGTCATTAGCAAGTGGCATTTTTCTGTAAAGACAACCCCTGAATACAGAAGGAATTTAATCATTTTGTCACACAGATGCACGTTGCTTTACATATTAGCAATGGTCATATACTGAATTTTCATTAGGAAATTCATTTGCCAATCCATACTGTAGGAGTCAGTCTGACAACCCCTGCTCTAGCAGTCCCAAGTCATACAGGGGTTCGTGAAATCCTTCTCTGTGCTCTTTCTTTGCAGCAAATAATGAGTCAGTACTGGGCTGCAAGACAGCGTCGATTTTTATTGAGTCTTTGGCTTTGCCAAAATACTTCATTCAAGCAACAAATCCATCAGTGATGTTCCTCTTTGGATTAACGACTGTGGAACCAAGTTTCCTAATTACAGAAGACTTTGATTAAATATTGGATTCTCCTTTAAAAGGGAGAGGTTGATGGATACTTCTTTCAAAGTACATTTCCTTTAATGTATTTGCATTTGCTTTAGCTTCCTCTTCAGGTTTGCCTGAAGGATAAATAAACTACACAACCACTCTAAAGGGACATGACAAACAGAATCAAACTGATTCCAAACACGTGTCCTGTTTGGAACACCAGTAAAAATGCCTGAAGAGCTCAGGCATGTTGCATGTAATAATTATATATTACGCATTTAATTAACAGCTACTTAGTCATGGAAGTTTTGTCATCAAATCCATAGGCTGAGTTTGTCCTGGAGAAGAAGAAGAAGGATTACCCAATGTTCATGTACTGACTGCACCTTTCTAACTGCTCTCCTTGGCTTGTGCAGAGGCATCCATCTGGACCCGGATGTCAATTATGCCTTCTCTTGACTGCCTGTAAAGTTTCTTCTGAAGCACATCACACTTGCAGCATAAGCTAACATCTGAATGAGCACTTTTTTTCTTGTCTTTGATTCTGAACAGAAGCTCTAGCTCTTTCTCCATGCTCAGCTCATTTTGGAACAAAGGTGCCATCACAGATGAAAGCTCTGCTCTACCTTAATTCCTCCTATGGAATGAAGCTCCTTTCTGCTGGTAGTTGCCATTTGACTTCTTTTTTTTTTTCCCCGGCTTATTTTGTGTGAAAGGATGCACATTACATTTTAGAGCAACAGAAGGGAATATTTTCTGCACTGAAAGCCTGATGTGAAACTCAGGTATCCCTGATGGGGGACATACAGTCACATACGTCTCCCACCTGCAGCTTCTCCACTGCATCCTCAAACCAGAGCACACGGTGTGCCCTAAGGTCCATCAGCCTCATCTGGCTTTGTGCCACATTAGGGGAAAGTTGGCTGGGATGGTGAGAAACTGTGGTACAGGTGAGAGGGGTGGAGATAATCGACAGGGAGAGAGACCAGTGCTAGGGAGAGGAGGTGAACAGTCAGACCAGGATCCTGCAAGGCAGAAGGCATTGTTAATGCTCAGGGTGTAGGGCGGAAGTTCTTTTTCCCTTCTTGTAGATGGATGTGATGGTTGTATATATTCCCCTCCCCTCCAAAAAAAAATGTTTGATTCAAGTAAAAACAGTTACAGAAAATAGTATTTTTTTTTTCTTCCAGTCACTTGAAAGTATATCTGATAGGATCTCTGGAATTAATTTTTTATGCCTGCATTCAGTGTGCACATGCTACTTTAGACGTAGCTAAATGCACAAGCTTCTCAGCTCCTCTACTCATTAGGTATTTTTGTTAGCTTTAGCTTGGCCAGCAAAAAAACCTTCTTTTCCTAGCACTGCAGGAGGTCCCTGCTGTGACAGGCTAAAATACCAAAAGATACAAGGGGTCTGTCATATGCTGTTGTCCTTTTGATTGAACTTGGAGAGAAAAGGCTTTTGTATAGTTAGTGGCCAGTTAGCCAGCACACTCCTAATATTATAGGCACAGATTTAGTGACCTGCATGAGAAGTGAGTTTGAAATAGATTTTTTACAGCTTTACATTCTCCTAGGAGCCCTCTATCTATCTTTGGCATTTTTAATTGCTTTCTTACACATTAGCACTGCACAACAGTTGGTGTCTGAATATTCACAGTAGCCATGCAAGGAAAAGGAAGCCCGGTTAGTTGTGTTTTATAGATGAGAAAGTGAAGCTCTCACGGTGTGTTTAAGTGATATATACAGTGTAATGCTGTGGGAAGGCTGAGATGAGGTAGACCTAAGCAGCTCGGGCCTTAGAATGCAGGCTAGCTAAAGTGTTTGTTTGCTTTAAAACAGGTTTCCTTTGTACTGCATTATCATATGCACAGAAGGCAATTTCTGGTAAATGCACACCAGCAGCTTGTGGCTGAGCAGGGTTGCGTCCAGGTCTGAGCTCCTCTATCAATCCTCATTCTGTGCAGTCATAAGCTCCACAGGTTGGTAAATTACAAAATGCATTTATTAAATCAAAAGAAATTGATTCCTCATTCCCAGTTATTACTGGGTCTGCTTCTAGTGACGAGAAACACCATCCCAGGGAGCACCTTGACCCCTTCCAGCTGCTTCACGTGCCACCCCTCCATTGCTAACAGAATAAAGCTAAAAAAATTACTTGCATAGTTGTTAAACTAATCATCTTGTGCATTTTTCAGCTCTCCAGTCAACCCACAGCATTGCTTTTTTGGTAATTTTTTTTTGCCTACATGAGGGCCTGCACTGGTTGAAGCCTTATGCCCACCTGAGCCTGGTGATGGCTGTGTGTGTGTGCAGATGGCACACCTCCCACTCAGCAGTGCTGAGGCTGCTTGCTGGGCCTTGGATGCAACGTCAGAATAATGTACTTGAATCTGATTTGACTGAAGAGCCTTGCATCTTGAAATGCTTGATCTCCTGTGATGGTATGAATGCTGCCAGCATGCAGTGCAGAGAGGTTTTGAGATCACACAGAGAGCACAGGTTTCAGTTTTGCTCTGTGTGACTGGTATCAAATTATCTCCCGTTCCCTCTGTTGGGTTTTTGTTGCTGTTTCTTTTGCTTTACTGCTTTGTTTCCTCCCAGCTGGCTTGGGAACCAATGTGGGTTATAAACAAAACATCGAGGATTTAATTTAGCTCATTAAAAAAAAAATAAAAAAATACTCTTTTCAAATGTTAAAGCTGGGGATGAAAGAGAGGACTGAGTGCTGGTCTGAAAGGCCAGGATGTGTTTCTTAGAGCCCAGCAGTGATGAGAGAGGCTCTGGTACTTCTGACTGAACAGTAGAGCAGTCCTGTTTATTACTTGTGATGTTCAGAGTTAATAAGTTCAGGAGTGAATAATTGATAGCGATTTTAAAACAAGCAAGAATTCAATTAAAAATGAACAAGAGGAGGCTGGGCACGTGGTAAAGAGTTTCTCTTTCCCATTTGATTTGACTGCAAACAATCCTAGATCTGGTCACTGAAGACAACTGGCAATGAAATGGGTGTGTGAAAGAAGAGGAAACCAGATATTATGTTACTTAAAAGTCATTCATCATGTCACAGGAAGGCAGGAATCTGAACTCCTGAAATAAATAATCACTAAAGGTGATCTGTCTGCACAAAGCTACTGTAGCATGAAGCCACGTCTGACTGCTAAAATATTCCTCTGTAATGAGGCCAATTACCCAGGTGCAGTGTGGCTGAGGAAGAGCAGATCACATGGAATGGTTTCTCCACCAAAACTGTCCATAGAAGCAGACCCATCGCTCCGTGGTGCAAAGGGAACGCAGCACAACATTCCCATCTCTGTTTTCATCCATGCGAATGCTGAAGTGACGCAGAATTCTGGGTTAAACTCTTAAGGCTGCAAAGAGCAGTGTTCCCTTCCTTTAATTCCATGTCTTCTTTATCCTCCTTTGTATGTAGCAGTTCTTCAGCATTCCTTACTGAGAATGAATGTCTTGAAAAGGTCCATTTGGTATTAGGGCTGGTGGCAACTTCAAAGTTGTGTCTGAAAGAGCAACAGTGCTTTTGTTGGTGGTCAAGGTAACAGCACCACTGCACGTTAAAGTAACTGCGGTTTATTTTACTGAAATACACAGCTGTGTAGGTGGGGGCACTGGGATGAGGATGAGCACAAAAGGTTTTGTCAGCAGACAAGTGATTGCAAGGGCTCAGCATTTGCTGAGTCAGAGTTTGTCTTAGCATGAGTATACTTTCTTTCTCCACCCCTTAAAACATTCAGTGATACTCATGTTCACTCGTGTATTTATAAATGAATGAATTTTCCTCAGTGGCTTCTACACTGAAGTCAGTATAAGAAATTATTGTGCTTGCCATCTATGTACTGTACTGCCATACTATGATCAATTTTTTATTTTCCTTTCCTGGAATGTGCTCAAAGTAATAAACAGAGTGGCTTCCCAGTATTTGTTAGCATTTCCTGCAAAGCAAATGTACACAGAAGCTCCAGCATTCAGTCAGGACTGTTGGTGTTGCCTTTGCTGCTGCTCAGTTTTCTGATGTTAGTACTCATACTTCCTTGCTCTACATATCTATGCATGCTGCTTCTTTGCTGTGGGAGCATGGACACCACGCAAGTATGCCCATGGCCTTTAGGTGCCCCACATTATTTGTAATGGGAATTGAACTGGGTGAACCTGACAAAAAAACTGAGCAAATGTTCTCTTTCTCTTTATTTAAGCGGCTTCAGAAATCAATAGAAGTTTGTGGTCCAATTTTTCATCAGTTTGTGGGATGGAATGTGAGGACAGCACTGCAAGATTCCAGCAGAGAGAGGTGGGAGTGCCTTTCCTCAGGATCTGGCTGCACCATCAGGACCCTGCAGGAAGAAAGGAAGGAAAAAAAGAAGAAGAAAATACGTGAATGTTAGTGTCAGGTACTCCTTCTTTATAAAATTATTTTGATTCTGTTCTATTTAAGGAATAACATTATACAGTGGGGTTAAAGATCACAGGGACTGCAGTAATGCAAGAAAGTTAGCAAAATAGGAGTTCTGAGTTGGAATCACATTAAAGATGAATGTGTAGTCTTAGCATCTGCTCCTCCTTTGTGGGATATCTGCACTTTTAATTTTTAAGCATGTCTTAGCCTCAACCTGGGAAAAGAGATACTATAACAAGGGAATATACATTATTAACCTTAGAGCTTCCAGCTTAGGCCTCTCCTTCATCTTCTGACCTCCAGGTCTCTCAACATGCAGGTGAGCGCCCACCGCTCAGTCTGCAAAGTCCTGGTTTGGGCTGACTCCTGTTTTAATACAGCAGATAGATGCAGTCACTTATTTTGATAGCTTGTAATTAACATAAAACACTTATACCAACTAATCAGAGATCACTGGTGTCTGCAATGTAATCTCAAGGAAGATACAGTTTCTAGTTCTTATCTTGGAAAAGTGGCCATGATGCGTATGCAAGTGCCATAGGACAAAGTCCCTGACTCACACTCTAAATTATTGATGGTATTCTGTTCAGGTGAGAACATAGCCTCCTACCTGGCTGCACAGTGTGACGAAGGACCATAAACAAGTTCAAAGCACCTTTTGAATGGTTTAGCTGGAATAATTGTTATCAGCTGACTTTAACAGCATTCAAGATGGATACCCAGGTAACTTTAACTATTAGTGGCTGTAGCAATAGATGTATTGGCAGCTAGAGGTGTACTTCCAATTTCTATTAACTGCATTAGCAAGTATTTGAGTAGCGCATTTCCATAGGTGAGGTGGTGGTAGAATGACTTTGAAATAATATTTTTGTAAAGCACACAGCTGATATAATTCAGTCAAAAAATATCTAGGCTCACTTGAAAAACTCTGCGGTGCAAAACTGCATTTGTCTTGGACAATGCACCTTCAGCGTGTAGCCTGTGTATTCATAAATGTGCATTTTCCCTCTCTGCTGAGTAATTTAGTTTGGTGGACTTTGACAAGGAAATGTCTTGGAAACTGCGACTGAGTGACATCTCACTTGCATGCTAATGAGGTCTTGACAGAGGTGGTGACAGATGGAACTCCGGGTTCAAACCACTTGCTTTTTTTTTCCAGCAGGATGCTAACAGTCAAAGGTTCCTAACAGCTCTTGCAATGACAATGCACGCTTCTAGGTTTCTGCTTATGACTTTCTCTTGCCATAGATTGTAGCAAAACTTCCATGAAAAGCTCTATAAGACCTCTGTAGATATCTTGCATGATTAACACAGACTGTTTTCTTAAATAGTCCGTTCTAGTCTTTCTGAATGCTTTGAAGGTTCCAAAGCTGGCCTATTCCAATGGTGGTCACAGACTTGATCTCCATCAAACCTCATCACAGAACCTAGTGGTGGTTTTATAGGACAGACCTACATGTAGCCTGGATGTCCTCTATCTAGAGCTTGTAGATGAATGAATAGCACTGAGAATTTCTTGTGATCTACCTGGCAAGCATTCCACTTACAGAATGACAGAATCACAGAATGGCTTGGGTTGGAAGGGACCCTGGCAGTCTGGGTTGGAAGGGCTGAGCAGCTGGCACTGCGAGCACCAAATGACAGAGCCCAATGCTGAAGCCAAGGAGAAGTAAGCAAATTATTCCCAAATAAAAGGGAACAGAGGCAGAGCGTAACGGAGCATTAAGCTGCATGTTCTGAGTCAGAGAGAGAAATACAGTAACCAAAGGCAAGACGGAGGATTTAATTTTTAATCAGCTGTAATTAATTCCTTCCACATCTTATGTCTGGTGAGAACACAGAGCAAAAGGAAGTAATATCAATTTGGCTTTGATGTGTTATAGTACCATTCAGAGGATTGTACCAGAGAGGAGGTGATGGGGATGTCCCACAGCTGTGGTATCATCCTGCTCAATCTATTGGAGCTTTGCTTAGAGCAACACTGGAAGCTTCTTACTTTGCATGGGACTGTCAGTGTGCCTACTGTATAGTGCATGGTCTGGTTAAATGAGGAATAGCTTTTAATAGCTGGAGGCTTTTGCAGCTGATGCAAGAATTTTCCTTTCCACCACTGTACACTTTTCCAGATAATTGACATAAACTGCTGTTATCAGACAAAAAAACACACTCAGAAGAAAAATCATTTGCCCGTGTCAGACAGCCCCGTGCCTCTTTGTTGGCCCTGCTGGTGTTAAACCTGCTTGCTCTCTATTCATCCTCCCAAACACACAGCCAAGACCTGCATTTCTTATTCCAAAACACTCAGAGCAGAATATCCTGCTTCTTTTTCCTCATTTGTCCTTCTGAAGGTCAGCTTTAAAGACTGTGAAATCAGTGCAGTAATCCCAGTATACCCAAGAGTGGTTCCTTGGGTGATGCACTCCATGTGCCCCCATTGCATATCTCTCCAACTTGGGAGCCCTGGTGCTGTGACACAGCTCCAGTCTCCCCAAGCCCTGCTGCCATGTCACATGCAACTTATTCCTCGAGCAGCTCCTTAATGGGCTGCAAACCTCCTGGGACACAAACAACATCTTCCTATCTGATAAGCTTTTATCTTTGGGTTTGCAGCTTGCTGTGAGGTGTGGAGGAATTTCTCCTTTTTAGAACCAAGCTTTCCTCATGTTCTCTGCTCGGGGCTCTTTGGGGACTGTGCTCCAGGCTGGGGGGAGGGGATGTGGCCACCTGCCGTGGAAATGGAGATTTTACAAACAGAATGAAAGGCGAGACAAAGGCGACATTATCTGCCATGCGAGCTGTTGGGGACCGAACAGCAACTTGCATATGGTTCGAGTTTGGCACAGCCTTTATTTTTATCCTCAGACGGGACTCCCTATCTGGTTATTTACTGTATTAATGACAGGAGACAGAATTACAGCAAGTGGGCTGAGTGCATTCATTACTGTGATAATTGTTGCTCCATATGAAGCTGGGACAGCCAGGCACTGTACAGAGCCCTGAGTCTGAGCACATGAGAGCAGATCTTGTTTTCAAGACAGCCAGGAACATGGGCTTTAATAGTAGCACCTGATTCCAACAAATGTGTAAACCCAATAATTTCATGCGGTTTTTTAAGATGCAATATAATAAAATAAAAAAGCAGTTGCTGATGTATTGGTCTCCTATTTGTTAGCCTGCAATTACCATCTAACTTGTGAAAACACAAAGTCATGCGATTCAAGGAGAATTTATATTTTAAAATTCAAGTATTAAACACAAAAATCTGCTTGTAGCAACCCAAGTTCTGTGTATTCTGCATATGCTATATATAGGAGAATGGGAAATGGCTTCAAACTAATAGAGGGGAAATTAGGTTGGATATAAAGAAGTATTTACACTGAGGGCAGTGAGGCACAGCACAGGGTGCCCAGAGAGGTGGTGGTGCCCCATCCCTGCAGACATCCAGGGGATGGGGCTGTGAGCACTGCTGGAGCTGTGGGTGTCCCTGTGCACTGCAGGCAGTGGGACAAGGTGGCTTTTGGGGGTTCCTTCTGAGTCAAACCATTCTATGATTCTTTTTTTCTCTTCTCTGTTTAGCACAAATAATTCCATGCACAGTATATTGCTTTTTTTTTTTTTTTTCTTAAAATGTATATTGCACTTTCTTCTTAAACGTTGCTAACTTATTAAAACAAAACATTTCTTCTTTTCTATGGGATGGAAAATGAATAGATTTTACACCAGCTGCAGCATGGCTGTCATTTTGTAAAGGAGCACAGCTGAGATGGTATTACTGTTTTGTTGCTGCTTTAAAACTTTCCTCTCCATGTAGTACACCTTAGTACTTAGTACACCTGTTTTAGCAGGTCTTCCTTGGTGCAGATGATTACATTTCCCTGTGTCAGCCTTTTAATGATAGTATCTACAGCTGAGTTGCTTTTCTCTCCATCACCTACTGCTGTAGCAGTGCGTAATGCAGTTAGAGAATAATTTGCTGTTTCAGAAGGTGGAGGCTGATTTTTTTCCTTTTCTGCTTGGCTTGTTTTAGGCCGTGTCTTGTGACAATATGGAAGAAGTGAGGGTAAGTTCAGAGCTCTTTGTAAGTTTTTATGCCAATGTGTGTTCCAGCTAAGTTAGGAAGGACTGCTCTGTCAGCAGGCTTAGGTGCCTGGTTGGCACTGTGTGGGGAATAATGATTTTCCTTCCTGCTTGAAGGAAGAGAAGGAGAACTATATCTGGGGTTATTTGGGGTGAGTGGCATGGTTAAGGAGGAGGGAAGGGGCTAACTGTCACCTACTCGAAGAGGGAGAGCAGATGGTGTTCTTGTGTTCAGTGGAGGAGAGGGCCTGGAGAGGTGGTGGGGATGTCCTGCTTTGTACCCAGCAAAAGTAACTTAGATATCTGTTTCTCTAGTTCTTCCTTCTCTTCTGTCTCTATTCTGGTCACAAGCGAACAGCAGTGCTGTTTCTTGCTCTCACGTGTTCTCACAGCATGTCCTATCAGCAAAATGTCTTCGTGCTTGACTATTGCATTGAAATGCTTGTTAGCTAAGTGCTTTGTGTGCATGGTGGTCCAGGAAAGCTAAACCAACAGGGAAAGATGGATGAAGATGTTTGCTGAGTTGACTTGAAGAAGGCTTGCTGTTTATTCCCAAGAATGTTCCCTTGCTGCGTTGCAGTTGCCTCTCTAAAGTCTGCTGGAATAGTATATTTACCAATAAACTTGCAGCTAGAGAATGAGGCTGAACTCATAGCCTCTTCAAATAAACCCTCAGAGCTTTCCCTTCCTTCATCCAAAACTGCAGCCTTGGCATCTGGTGCTTCTTCAAGCCTGACGAGCCAGGCTTAGAGTGAGCACACACAGTAAGTTAACGTGAGCATGTGGGTGACCTTTGCTGTAATTCACATGGATTGGATCCTGCACTGCAGCCTATGCAGGTGACCGGTTTGCAGCAGCTGTCAGAAGAACCCCTGATTTTTCTCAGTTCCAATACAAAGGTAATGGCTTTTGCTATGGAACTTAGGCACTGGCACAGGTTGCCTGGGGAGGTGGGGATGGCCTGACCTTGGAGACTTTTGAAGTCAGGCTGGATGGGGCTCTGATCACCCAATGGAACTGTGGGTGTCCTTGTGCACTGCAGGGGAGTTGGATTAGATGACTTTTAACGGTCCCTTCCTACTCAGTTCAGGGCTCTGATGCGGGGATGATGGCTTTTACTATGGGACCCTGTGCTGGAATCTTGGTTTAGGTTTATTGTTGTAGGCATTGCCCAGCTAGTTGGCTTTCAGCTTCTACACCTCTTGAGAGAAGCAGTCGTACGGGCCGACCTTCCCTTGCTTTCTAACATCCAAAGTGTTCTACCCTCAAGATTTGTGCTGGTGTATCTGAGGTAAACTTGTTGAAGTTCTGCTGAATGAGACTGAGCTGACAAAGGGAATCGATCATTCCTTGCACGTCTGTAGTGGTTTTGACACCTTAGGGGTTATGCACTGGGAGTCAGGTACTCTTAATGCACCGGTGCCTGCTGACAGCGCTGTAACCTGGGAGCGCTGGAAGCCTGGAGGTGGGCTGGGAGTTTTAGGAAGGACTTGCTTTCACCAACCTGGCTCGGAAGGAGCAGCGCTATCGGCCCTAACCCAAAACGCGAACTGCTCGTATGAACCCGACAGGCAATTGTTTTATTAAAGCTGACGTGCTGAATGGGACTCTTTTTAATGATATTCTTTACCTGTCTCATTGTGTTAAAGTGGGGAAAGGATGGGGGGGGAGGTGAGGAGCACACAGCCCGAGGAGGGCGAGCGGTGGCAGGTGGGACTGAGCACCAGGAGCAGCTCTGCGCGTTGAGCCGCCCGGCTTAGCCCGTGTAGACCGCATAACAAGAAAGAGTTGCTAAGAACAAATCTCTATTGTTCGCTGTCATCTTTAAATGAGTGTCAAAGTAGGCAGGGGGGCTTTGACCGTTAACCGCACAATTTAGCCTGCCCGTTGTGTCCAGCAGCCCCCACCTCCTTGGAGTTTCTCAGATTAGAAAAGAAGGCCTCAGTCCCTTATAAATGGGCCAACTCTTCTCCTTTGTGTGCAGACTGCCCAGTGTGAAATCTGCAGTGACGTTAAATGTTTTCTAATGAATAATTACTGAAAGGAAATGGAGGAATATATGTGTAATGGATTGTAGCGCATTAAAATGTTTTATTTTGCGCACAAAAATGTTGTCCTTCACAAGCACCACGATTGTTTCAGAGAGCCTTTTGTGGGGGCTTGATTCTCAATGGATTATCTGTGAGCTCTTACATTTCCAATAGAAATCAAAAGGGTCCTTTGGCAAACTAATGTTTTTCAAAATGGCAGCCATGAAGCCCATTTAGTATTTAAAGTTTGGGTTTTAAAGAAATGTTTGAACTCTAGAGATTTTCTCACTTTTTTCTTTCTTTTGATTTATGAAAGTGAAGTAGTTCACCTCGACCTCTCTTCTATTGAGAAAGACAGACAGTCACCCTTTAACAAGTCTATAGTGGGCTATTCCCTGGATACAGACAAGAGGCCTTAAGAATTGTTGGCGTTTCCCTAGGCTGTTGATTAACCTTAAAACCCTCTTATTCTGTATTCTTTTGAAAAAAAATTAGGTTACAATGTGTAAATTTTTCCACAGTATAATTGTATTTATGAATTCTGCTGCCTTGGGACATCCCAAGCTACTGTATGTGCTTCTCAAGTGCAGCCTTACAGACCCAAGACATACCTTCTTTGGCACTGCTGCTGTGTTCCCAAAGTACAGCTGGTGTGCAGAGCTTTGGTTTCTGTAAAAATGTGGTAGAGGTTTTCAGGGATGTAGAGGCTGGTCTCACTGAAATACCTTTTTAAAAAAATTAAAAGTCTTTTTGATGCTGCAATCATACAGATGTAGCATGGTTACTTGGTGTGGATCTGATCTGCTTCTTTGGTTTTTATGTGCACTTCAAGTTTATTTGAAAATTACTCTGAACAGATTAATTCTTATGAGCCACACCAGAGCATCTACAGCAGGAGGGAAGTATTTCCCTGGACTTGCCATTATTCTGATGCAGTAATGCACTGCCCCAAAACCTATTGCCAAGCATGCAGCAGTCCCATCTCCGTGATGACTGCAGACTCTGGTTGCCACTCAGGGAGGGCAGGAAGGGGTCCAGGCTGCTCCCAGAGCAGCTGCACGCAGCCCTTCCACCATCACTGGCACACTGTGAGCCTGGCCTTGGGGTTGCTGCTGGGTTTGAGGGAGGATGTAGCACTGCTGGTGCCCATCTTTGCTCTCCTGCTGACTTGGCCATGTAAGAAACAGCCTCTGTTTCCAGCTGTGCTGATTCTAAGGACATCTTTCTTAGCCCTTTCTATACGGTCAAGTTCTGTCACTGCCTTTCTGGACAGTCTATTTGGAGAACCTTTAGCAGAGCAGAGCCCAAGGAGTTTCCTCAGTGTAACCCTTGCAGTGCCTCCATCCTATTTTGGTGAGCCTTAATGAGCAAATTCCTGTTGAGCACGAGGGGTGCAGGACCGGGTCAAGGAGCGCCGCCTGTTGCAGTCAATGACTATTTCCAAAACAGAGCTTTGACGTTCCTAAAGGAATCTGTTAGCGGTGTTGCTCCAAGCTCATCTGTCTTCAGCAGGCCTGAGACTCACTTCTATTTTACACCACATGGCTCCAGAGATGCCTGCTTTCTGTGCTGCATTCCTGTGGCATGAACTTCATTTGCTTGAATCTCAACAGGGTAACAATAGAAGAACAAGTTGGGTATCACAATGGATTCCTTAGGATGCCAGCTGGAGACAGGGCTGAACAAATAGACTGAGCTTGCCTTAGGGTTGCTGTGTCCAGAGTTAAATAAGGCTCTGGCTGTCAGTGGGGGTGGGAAGCCTTATTGCAGAGATCGTAACGCAAGTGTGCTCTTGTCAGTAAGAATTATCTGACCCTGTTAGCAAAAACTGATTGATTCTGTTGGGAAACAGATGTTAAACAGGTGGTTTTCCATTTCTCTATTAGAAATACAAATTAGTGGGTGTTAAAATTTTAAGTCTTTTGAGTGTTCTTGTTACAATCTAGCTGAGGACAAATTGAAAATGTTTTTGTCCTACTCATCTCCTCAGATCTTACTGTTCACCATTTTTCCTCATTGACTCTGAGCCACAAGGTAAAATCACAGAATTGTAGGGGTTGGAAGGGACCTCCAGAGATCATCGAGTCCAACCTCTCTGCCAAAGCAGGCTCCCTGCACCAAAATATTTAACTCCTCGATGTTGCTGTAAGACCAAGCACAGCTATTTTGTGGTCAACTTTTGTCTTGCCCTAAGCTCCTTCTGAAGGACATCTCTGTTATTCGGAGAGGTTAGATTTGGTGTGGAACTTTTAAATATAAAGCTCCTAAAGAGTTTGAGCATCACCTAGAGTGTGTGGCTGAACAAAAGTGAGAGGGCGCTTGCCGGTGGGTCACTGGCTGCCCAAGTAGAGGGGTTTCATTCTGTTGGCTGCTTATGCAGAGAAGTAGCCGTGGGAAAATTGTCTGCTGCTGACTTTTGGGTGGGTGGAACGGGAGGAAAGGAAGGTCTGGCATTGTCTGGGAGCCAGCAGTGACCGTAGTGCAGGCTGTAGCCATTTTGGGGTAGTGGGTCAGGGAGAACCCGCCTATTGCAGGGGAAAGCCAGGGGAAACTTTGAGTGCAAATTAAAATGGGTTTCGCAGTGACCTCTAGTGGGGAGCGAAACTGAGAGCTGCTGGAAGGGATGAGCCCGTTCGGCAGCGGTGGTTTGTACCTGGATTTGCTCAAATGGTGCATCAGGAGGGTTAGAGCCTATTTCTTTGCCTTCAAACTCCAACTTCATCCTTGGGGTGATATTTTACAGCACCTTTTAACGAGTCCTTAAGCATAAACCTCATTGTAGATCGACTGTTGACCGCGTGTTAGATAATTCATTAAACAGCAAGGATGTTACGATCCCTGCCTGAGGAGGAAGGCACACAAACAGGACACACGATACGTGGTGTCAGCGGGCCTTCCCTCTAGCCCTGTTAACTCTTCATGGAAGAAGCACGTTTTGGAGAAGGAGTTGGCAGGAGATGGCACATCTGCTTGGGTGACAGGTAAAGCATGGAGGAAAGAGGCTTCTGAATGTGTAGGGTGGTGCTAAAGGAATCCAACATCTCCTTGGGGCTCTTCTGCTCTCCCCCAAACCATCCCAACCCAATGAGATTTCTGCTGTTGTAGGGAGGTGGGTTCTTATGGATGGATCCAATAGATCTGGAGTTTGGTGGCATGTGTGGCATTTTGGTAACGGTCTGGGTGCTCACCTCTTTGAGTGGGTATGAGGTTATGTGAAAGATGCTCTGGGACGTATGGTGCCCACCCAAGGCTCCCAACTCTGTTTGCATGGGGGATGTGTGGCATGATTTGTTTCTGCAGAGCTTCCAAAATAGCATTCTAACTGTTCCTTTCCTTCCCCATCTCTTCAGTTCAATTGCATTAAATCAAAGGAACAGCAACATTAACTTAGCAGACTGTTGAAATGGAGTTCTGAGCCTTTAGCAAAGATGAGTAATAATCTTCCAAAGTTTACTTGATTTTTTTTTTTTTTTTAATTTAATTTTTAATAACTGTTGCTTGCCAGGACTTGTTTCTGTGTTACAAACTTTGCCTAATGCATTGCCCTGTTGCTCCTGACCTTGTTTTAGCCCCTGCTCAAAGCCACAAGTCTCATGAAATTGTTTTGATCCAGTTTAGCTCCTCGTGGTTTTTAGTGTCTATAGACAAATCCCTCTGGGGAAAAATGAAGCCCTCACTGTAACCAGGGATAGGTTTTCTGGTAGAGCTTGTGTCTCAGCAGGCAAGGAAGAAATCTCCTGGTGCTTATAGTTAAGTGATGAGGAAAGGAAAACAATCCTTTTTAAAAAGAGCAGTCGACAGCACCGTGCTGGGGTAATGTGTACTGATGAGCCCTGCAGGGTATCTGTTACTGAGGATGACACCAGGTAAGGATGAAACTCCCAGGAGTGGGGCTGGGGCGGGAGGCGGTAAGCTGTGCTGTGATCATAAAATTGCTAGACCTCAGTGATAGCAAAATGCTCAAAATCCGAGCACAAAGCAGCCCAGAAAAGAGCATGGGATTTTTTTTGTCTGCCAGAGAACAGAGGGTCACTTAGCAATTAACATACGAGTGAAAGAATTAGGTTAAGGAAACCTGATCAGCTAGATGGCTGCTGTGGTTTCAGCCTTCCTCTTTCAGGTCTCCAGGCTTGGAAAGGAGGTAAAATTCTCTTGCTCAGGTTGTCCTGAGTGCAGGCTCAGAACAAACCCACCCGAAGTGCCAGCAAGCATTGTGTAGGGACATCTCTCTGCCAAAGTGATAAACTCTGACCTGGTCAGACAGCTCTGTGCTGTGGCCAAATCAGAGTGGAAAAATGAGTATCAGCTGTTGAGGGCAAAAATAAAGGAAAGCAAGGTGATAAATTCCTTGTATGAAGTTACCATAGTATGACTTCATAAAGTGAGTTAGGATTCAAATAGCATGTTGTCAGAACATCTTTCTCTGTGGTATTTTGGTACTATTGCTGCTGAGCATAAATTTGCAAAGCTCAGACCATTATTTCAGTAACATATAGGTGAGTGTTAAATTCTGCACTAAAAAATGGAACATGTTAAAATCTCTGTTTAAGAGCTCTCTGACTTTTGGTCAGCATATTATGAGCTTGGGCTTTAGCTCTTTATTTTTGTGAAATTATGCATCTAAACCTGCCAGCTTTCAGTGTCTGATGTGCTGTCATCCTCCAGTGAAGCTATGCAGGCTTGCAAAAGCCAACCTCCAAGGTCAGAGCTTGCCAAAACTTAGCAGAAACATTTTACACCGTGCCTTCTCTCCTAATGCGTGTTCAAACCCTGACACACTCACCTCTTGAGCACTGGAGCAGCAAGATGTAAAAACTCCAGTGTCATGAGGGCAGTGTGGGAATAGCAAACGTGCTGGGCTTGTGTGCACGTCTCTGCAAAGCCCAGGAGTCCTAAAAGGTAAGTTGCTCAAAATGTTAATTTCTATCGTAAGGAAAGTATTTCAGCAGGAACTGTTCTATGAAATGTGTAATCCCCAGGTCTTTATAGTTAATAACATCCTATGGTGTGTTTATTTCTATAGAATAAAAAAATATCTTGCTTGCTAACATGAAATTATCAGCTTGTTTTAATTAAGAAACAATATGTGTGTGGTTAATTTGTATAGCCCTTGAAACAAGAGCTCGATCCTCAGCAATATTTTCAATATAAGGTCAAATTTAATTATAAACAATTGAAAGTGGAGTGTGCGAAGGAGTTATGTTCTGTCAGTGACATCCTTTCTGCCTATTTCTGCCTTTTGAGAAGCAGATTGGGTCGGCTATTAAAGGTTTAGTGGGTTTTATTCCAAATCTCTGCTTAATCAGTTTTATCAGATCAATGGACGGGCTTTTCATGTTGCACATTTCTTGCTGGTGTGTGGAGACATCTGCTGCCCGTATTTGAGAGCTGCTTATGGAAGGCATTGGTAGTAACTTAGTGGTCTTGCTCCAGGTAGTGTTGTAGCACTGGAATTGGTAGTTAGAGGTCAAGGCAGATGAACTTCAGGGGATTCTCGGTTCTGATGGGTGTATCTGTGGGAAATTCTAACCTGTGTATGGTAGTTGCTGGTGGCATAGAAACCAAAAGTGTGTCTGATGCCTTCCACTGACAGCTGCAGACCTTGCAATTACTTTGTCTAGGTGGAGTTAATGACGTGTTCCAGGTCTCACTCAGATCTTTGGAGCTAGGTTTCAAACCACTGTTCCCATGGTGAAAGCTGCTGGAAGCTTTGGGTTTCCTCTCTGATCGTAATGAGTCTTAAAATTCTTGATTGTAAAGAACTCCATGGGTGCTCACTGATGTGAAACACCTTGGGGAAGGTGTTAACAACACACTGGCATTACCTGTACTGGGTTGATCTGGCCCTGAGGTATGGGGAGGTTTCGGCTCTCTCCTAAGCCTATACCATGCAACCCTTGTGTTTAGAAGGAAGAGGTGGAAGATAACACTGACATCATCATGGAGGGGGCTCTGATAGCCCGGGACAGAGTTGGGGTGCAGGACTTTGTGCTTCTGGACTCCCACACCAGTGAGGCTGCTTTCCTGAACAACCTCCGCAAGCGATACCAAGAGAACCTCATCTATGTAAGTGCCTGTTTGTGTGAGTGCTGCTGAGAGTGCTGCTCCAACTTTGGTTTCACTGAGCATTGAGACAGTAAGCCTTGATTCATGTAGCTGGTACCCAGCAGGGTGCTCACCCAGTAGAATATCAAAACATAATAATTATGTATGCTGTAAGGCTTTATGTTTGTTTTATGGTTCCACTCCATTCTTACAGGGTTGATTTTGAATGTTTAGTGTTGGCTTTGGGCTTGGAAATGAGGAATTCTGGTTTCTTTTGGTTTTGTTTGTTCTTCTCACAAGTTCTGTGCCATCTTTTCCCAAAATGTTGTGATATACATGACTCTTCCTCAAGAAGCTCTCTCTGTAGTGATGGTACTGATTTCCCACGTCTATGCATTTTTCTCCTTGCAGACATACATTGGCACTCTTCTTGTATCTGTCAACCCTTACAAAGAGCTGGATATCTACACAGTGACCCAGATGCAGCTTTACCGAGGGGTGAACTTCTTTGAACTGCCACCTCATCTGTAAGTAGAATCCTTAAGACTTCAGCTGATATGAGTATATGGGATGTTGTCCCTGGTGCTATGTGTGAGCTACAAGGATGTGTATCCAGAGTTGCAAGTCTGGTGAACGTTTTATATTCCCATCTTTCTGTAGGTAAGGTTGTATTTGTCTTCTAGCTGGCTATGAAAATGAAAGAGAACAGAAGGGCTGAGAAATAGTGGTGGGGGATTACAGAGGAAGAAAGACTGAGATAGTCTTGCAGGCAGTTGCAGGACTAGCTCAGTACTCATGCACAGCTCTGCTTGGGCTTCAGAGAGGGAGGAAATTGAAAATTCAGGATTCTGAGTTGAAGTTATTTTGGTGTTTGGAAACTTTCAGGTGATTTGAGGGGTTGAGGTTGATAGGTTTTGTTTTTGTTTTCCTCGTTTTTCTTCTATAGGTGGCATATTTGACAAGGACTCCATTATTATCTTTGTATATATTTCTATAAGCAGGAGTTGGATTTTTTTTGTTGTTCCACTGGAATAAAAACTGGTTCCTCTGACCTGGAAGGAGTCAATAGTGTATATAAGTAACATTCATCATAAACATACCCAGCCCATTCAAATCCTATTTTGACAGTGGAAAAAGAATGAGCTTTGTCTACCTCGCAGAGGCTGAGAGACCATGGGTAGCAGACTGGCGTTTTGAGCTCTGCTTTCCCATCACGTCCAGTGCTTGAGATGTTAGCTGGGGAGTACACCCCATTTCTAATGGATGTTTCCCCTCTGAATCCTTCTTGTGACTCTTGTTCAGATATGCCATAGCTGACAATGCCTACCGGGTGATGTGCAGTGAATACAACAACCACTTCATCCTCATCTCTGGGGAGAGTGGAGCTGGGAAGACAGAGGCTTCCAAGAAGATCTTGCAGTACTATGCAGTCACCTGTCCGACCACAGAGCAGCTGCAGGTCGTCCGTGATCGTCTGCTGCTGTCAAACCCTGTTCTGGAGGTAAAAACTGGATGAAAGCAATGTAGAAAAGCTGCTGATGGCCTCCTTTCATGAGACTTTCCTGTCTGCACACTTGCACCCAGGAATGGACTCTTGTTTTTATGGTTTGCACACATAAGTAATAGTGTAAATTAGGCCTCTTGGCAGCATAAGCACTTAACGTTTCTAAACATTAAGTGGTACTAAACTTGTTTTTATACAGGAGGATAGCTGGAACTGGGAGTATGGGGAAACTGTACAACATACAACAGATCCTCGTGGTGCTGTTTACAGTCGTGCTAGAAAGAGGCATAATTTGTCTAGCTGAGGTCCATATTAAAGCTAAGAAATATATTAGTTTGTGTTTCTTTAATTCCTGTAAATTTTGTAATAGGACTTGACTGCAGCAAACCTTTGTCCTGTTGCATCAAGTTCTCTATAAGTGACTTGATCTATCCATTTTATCCATAGGCTTTTGGAAACGCAAAAACTCTGCGGAATGACAACTCGAGTAGATTTGGGAAATACATGGACATCCAATTTGACTTTAAGGTGAGAACAAACTTAATGAGCCGCTGTTGAAACAAGCTCCGTCAGTGAGCCTCTTGGACGCATACCAGGCAGCACAGGATTTATTAGTTCTTACTAACACTGCAGATTTCTGACCTTATTTCTAGAGGTCGTGCATTCTGTGAGTGAGGTGACTAGTTATACATCCCGAAAGCTTCCTACATTACTCACAACACTGCCAGTACTTGATAGGATTTTAATATATGTAGTTGCAAAGGGTGACTTGCACTAGAGGACAGGAAACTCTTCAGATATATCTGAAATTGCTGGTGGATACTATCCCAGAAATAGAAGAAGACAACAGGAAAGAAACAGTGCATTTCCTGCATCTCCTGGTGTTGCTGCTTGCTCCTGTGTTGGATGAACAGCCATCCTGATGCTGGTCTAACTGCTTCATTTTGCTAGGGAGCTCCAGTGGGAGGGCACATCCTCAGTTACCTGATCGAGAAATCCCGAGTTGTCCATCAAAACCACGGAGAGAGGAATTTCCACATCTTCTACCAATTATTAGAGGGTGGAGAGAAGGATCTGCTCTGCTGGCTTGGGCTGGAGCGCAACCCTCAGAAGTATGCTTATCTCATCCAGGTCAGTGAGAATTTGACCATCTCTCTATTTTATGTCTGGAATTGTAGGGATCTTTTACTACCATAAAAACAGAAGATGGCTGCAAGCTTGTGCTATTCACAACACTCTGCCATTTGGTGGTAATTGCTATCCAAGTGCCATGTTTCAAGTAATTGTTGCTGAAAGGGCTGATCAAATGAGTTGGTTTCAGGTTTAGGAGTTTAATAACCTTTCCCAGAGAGCTGCAGACTGCATCTATGCAAGCTGAGGAAATGAAGTATTATGGCCAGGCTGCATTTGTTCTTGAAAAAATCACTACTGAAATTTAGTAATTTTTTCTCCTAGGGTCGATGTGCCAAAGTCTTTTCTATTAATGACAAGAACGACTGGAAAATAGTCCGCAAAGCTTTTTCTATCATTGACTTCACTGAAAAAGATTTGGAGGTATGGAAGTCAAAAGTCCATCCAGTTGATGGAAAGTGTCTTGGTTGGAAGATGTGTCTAAGGTGTTTATGAGCATGTGCAGAAAATTGGCACTGCTCCATGGAGATGTAGGAATTTGTTTTCTAACAGTGTATCTCCCATTATTAGCATCTTTTTGGAATAGTTGCTAGTGTCCTGCACATTGGGAACATTCAGTTTGAAGAAGATAGCAATGGACATGCCATCATTCGCAACGGCACTCAGATCAAGTGGATTTCAAAGGTATCTCCCACCTCTTAGACCAGATCAGCAAAACAAATAGTATAAAGAAAGCCTTAACTTTCTTTGGGTCTGTTCGCAGAAGTGGAATGATAGCAAGAACTGGGTGTTTGTATGGCTATAAGCAACCTCAGACTGTAGGAGATGTACCGTGTGATCACTAGGGCACTGTTTAAGCAGCCTCCTGCTGCCCATGCTGAGAGCAGGATTTGTTTCTCTACAGCTCCTGGGTGTCCACTTGTCCATTCTGCAGGAAGCCCTCACCCATCGGAAGATTGAAGCCCGCTCTGAAGAGGTACTGAGCAGCTGGAAGCAGTGCAGGGACAGATGAGGAGCTGTGCTCACAGTGCTGTTTCAACTGAAACAGATTAATTTGGCTGTCCTTGTCATCCGTATTACCTTGCCCTTCTAGCCTGAGACTTTAATAGAGTGACTATTTTAGTTCTGAATATTCTGGCTGAATGAACTGGTAATTACTAGAAAGCCAGGAACAGGGACTTTCAAGCAGCCATGAGTTTGAGCCAAACAGTTTCCATTTGTTTAGTTCCTGGAGTGCTTCTTGGGAAACCAGACAGCGTAAATAGAGAAAAGCTTTGTATAAACTGTTCTTTGAGCAGTTTGTACTAAGTTTGATAAAATGAAACTAAAAGAAGTGAGGAAAGGCACTCCCAGTTCATCAGAATGTTTAGTACTTTCCAAAGTGTAGTATTGCAATCCTGCTGACGTGGAGATGCACCAGGCTGAAATAATAACGGGAGAGGAAGCTGTAGGTAGAGTTGCTGGTTCTCTGTGCCTGAAGTATGAACTAGTTTTGCAGAAGTTTGCTGTGCTATGTTCTTCATTGCATCTGGGATATTTTTATTTTTAGGTCTTAAGCCCATTGAATGTTGATCTGGCATTCTATGCTCGGGATGCTGTAGCAAAGGCAATTTATGGACGGACTTTCACTTGGCTAGTCAACAAAATCAATGGCTCCTTAGCCAACAAGGTTGGTTCCTTGTCTGATGTCCTCTTGGAGCTCCTCCAGTAAGGCCCAACTGCACATGTGAGCAAATACCCCATGCTCAGCAGTGTGGGATCGTCCCACAGCTCTGAGTTGGAAAACTTCAATGCTAGGAAAGAAGTGTGGCAGTTGGTCTGTTAAGTACTTCTTGTACCGAGTTTCCTGCTTCTGTGTGTCCGTTCACAATGGTGATGGGTTTGTGGTTGGACTTGATGACCTTAGAGGTCATTTCCAACCTTAATTGTGCTGTGATTTACTCTTTTGGCATCTCGAAGTAGAAGTTTAAAAAAGAAGAAAGAAACACAAAACTGTGCAGGGAAGAAACTTGAGCTGAAGCAAGAGTTACAAGTTGTGTCTTTAACAGGATTCAACTCGTAAGACTGTCATTGGCCTGCTGGATATCTATGGCTTTGAAGTGCTGGACACAAACAGGTAACAGCAGTTTCTGAGAACGGGGGGCAATCTGTCCTTGTGGCAGTGGGAGTGTGTGCTGAATCCTACAGGACTTTTTGAACATAGTCTTGTCCCAGCAAATCAAGAAAGGTGGCTGCAAATGCGCTGGGTTAGCTCAGTAAGTAAACAAAAATCTTGTTGCTTTTTAATAAAATTTCTGAGGCTTAATCTATAGAGAACTGGACTGTTTGATTGGAAAACAGTAGGAGGAGGTGGGAGAAGTAGAACTGTGTCCATGAATTGATTAAACAATATTTCTCATTTAACAACTCTGAAGCTTTGAGCAGTTCTGTATTAATTACTGCAATGAGAAACTCCAGCAACTGTTGATTGAGATGACCTTAAAGGCAGAGCAGGAGGAGTACGAAATGGAAGGAATAGAGGTAATTCATTATTCTCCACCCTTTTGTTTCTTTGAACAGCCACTGCACGCATTGCTTTTCTTCATTAATGAAGAAGGCATCTTGCCTGTCTCAATTGCAGTGTTTCCCTGGGCCATGTGGAAAGCTGTACTTTGAGTATATGCATGGTTTCATTTTAAATCCCATGTAAGCTTATTCTGCTTCAGTATACTTTGTATTCTTTCTACCAAGGAGATCATTCCCAAATCTGTAGAGTTCATTTTTGCATTGCTCCTGTGAGAGGTATAAGATAGCCAAGGATCTCATTCTGTAACCCTTTTGAAATTTAATTTGGCCTAGACTTAATCCACATCTCTGGAAGGGGAAGAACATTCCCCAATCTCTTCTTTCTCCTCTTATTTCCAGTGGGAACCAATTCCGTATTTTAACAACAAGATCATCTGTGACTTGGTTGAGCAGAAGCATAAAGGAATAATTTCCATTCTGGTTTGTACTACTTAAATTATCATGCTTGCCTGTGCTCTGCTGTAGTGGTTCATAATCAGTTCCAATTATCTGGTGGTTCTGTGTTATTCGGGATCTAAACAAATAGACCTTGTGAACAAAGACTGATTCATCCAGATAAAAAATCCTGTATGTCTGTCTGGATTTTGGGTCTAGTTATGTCATCTTTTTGTTTAAACGGGCTATAAACAATAAAGGATGAGTCAGGGCATTGCCAAATCTGAAAGAAAATGGCAGATCTGATTTATCTTGATTTATTCTGTTAGTTCTACTGAAATCAGATAAACAGAACTCCATGTTTAACCAGAAAACTGCTTACATTGGGCAGACCTGGTTCAATTGTAACCAAATTCTTTAGTTTTGCTGAATAATGTGGTGCTAAATGTTTCTGAGGAGGGATTTGTCTGTTCAGAGCATCCTTCTGCCTGGTGCCTGCTCTTTCAGGATGAAGAGTGCTTACGGCCTGGTGAAGCAACTGACTTGAGCTTCTTGGAAAAGCTGGAAGAGAAAGTAGGAGACCATGCCCACTTTGTGACGTATGCATTTATGCTTTGCATCCTACCACAAAGGAAACTTTCCCATCTTTTACCCATAACAGAGCAGAAGTTGGACTCAATAATTCTTACGGGTCTCTTCCAACTCAGGGTGTTCTGTGGTTCTGTGAGTACTGGGGGAGGAAAAAGTTTTGCTCTGTACCAGAGAAAATCAAGCAGCCTGTCTGTTGTCTACCACTGTAATGCTCCAGTAATGTCTGGAGGTATTACGTAGGTTGCACTGGGGAGCCTTGCTTCATTCTGCATTTGTGTTTTGCAGAAAAAAAAAAAAAAAAAAAAAAAAAAAAAAAAGGAAAGAAAAGGGGCTGACTTTGAAAATATTGGATTGATTTGTCCCATGCTGACCAGGGGAAGCTGTAGGTATCGTGAAGAGGAGCCTAAAATCCCCGAGCTGTATGGTGGATGTAGATAGTTTTTCAAGAGTCCATTTGGATATATATGTGAGCTTTAGATCTGAAGAGGGAAGAAAGACACCTTTGTTTGCATCCCCAAACGAGCAGTACTGCAGCCAGGACTCAGTTTGTGTTATTTGCAGATCCTGTTCTGCTGGCTAACGCGTTGGTGCCAGGCTGTTCTGGCAGTTCCCAGCAGAGCCCTACTGAAAGGCTTCCGCTCATCATCAGTTCAGAGTCACGCTGCTGAACTGTCACTTTCTATGTTTCCGATCATCAAAGCTGAGTGGAAAATCTGTAGGCAACTTCCTCATTGCTGCAGTGTGTCTTAAAACTGCTCTGTGTGATTAGAAGTGTTAAATGGAAACATTAGCACTACTTAAGTAGGAGCCATACATGGCAATGCTCTTGGAACAAAACTTCTGATGTACTGATGTGCTGCTGTGACACAGCTCTGTGCTACTAGAGACTGCTTGCAAAGCTGAGATTTGTACTGTGAAGTTGCTCTTTTTCTTCCCAGCCCTTACTTTCTAATATCTCCTGCTGATGTTTACAACTGTGATTCTTCCTTATTTCTATTCTTGTCCCTAGGGTGCGGTTTCTCAAATGATGCTTTTCCTCTGGTTTTGGTTTGAAGTTGAGGAAAGTTGTGATCTTCTTAGCATGTAGGCTATGAGAATGTATTTAAATGAATGTTATAGGGAGAAGCCATCTTCCAGGCAGAGTGATCATTGCCAAATGGCAACGGATGCTTTGCACATGTTTTGAGGAGTTTGTGGTCAATGACTCCCATTCCCTAGCACTAAATCTGCTGTAAGCTGCTCCGAAAGGAGAGGCAGTTCTTTTGATTATGGGCCATAACTGCATGAACAGAGCCACACTGATAGGAACAGACACTTGATAGACTTCCAGCTGTCACACAGCTGCTTTTTGCACAGGTGTCTTTCTACAGGCTGAAGAAATCCGCTGTTTTCTCTTGGTATTTTTTGCTTTTTGTCTTTTTTTTTTTTTTACCTCCCTGTAGTCGCAAGCTTGCAGATCAGAAAACACGAAAATCCATTGACTGGGTGGATTTCCGCCTCCTTCACTACGCAGGGGAAGTCACATACTGTGCAGTCGGTGAGTGTGACTGAGGAGCTGCTCTGCATGTTCCTTGCACACCTGTGCCCATGTGGCAGATGGAACGTGGGCACTGACTCCACACGAGGGTGCTATCCGTGTGCTGGGCCCTTGGGGTGGCGCCCAGCTGCTTCCCAGTAAAGCCAGTGCTTGCCCACGTGTGCTATGAGCCTTCTAATGGAACAAAGCCTTCTTTCTCTTCAGGATTTCTGGAAAAGAACAATGATCTCCTGTACAGAAACCTGAAGGAGGTAAGAGCAATAGAAGGGAGTGCTCTTCCCTTAAGCATCTTGCTAGAAGTGATGTTTTGCAGAAGCTGTATTTAATCTCAGTAGCGATCAGAAATGTGTGTTTCTCCTTAGCATTTGACATTCCTCTGAAACCTGTCCTCCATTGAGATTGAGATCAGTGCAAAGGCTTTTATTGGACAGATATAGCAGCTTCGTGCTGGAGCCATAGGTGTCCTGGTGACCTGAACTTGGGAAATCAGGCTGCTTCTGGCCTTAACTTTGTTCATTAGTCCTCAGTGCAGAGCTGTCCAAGCAGGCAGCTGATTTCTGGCTCCAGAGCTGTGCATGTGAAGGGGTCTCTTCTAGGTTCAGCTTCTAGCACTGGAGGCTGTTGCTTGAATCTGTGCTGTGTGTCCTTACAGCACCCTAGGAAGGCATGTATGCTAAATATGACAGTTTCTCACTGACTGTGTTTCAGGTGCTGTGCAACTCTAAAAATGGAATCATTAGAGACTGCTTTTTACTGTCAGAACTGGACAGCAGGAGGAGGCCAGAGACTGTGAGTGTAATGTTCAGTCTAAACTTTTAAGGTTGGTTTAACTTCCCAAGTCTGCATTTCCCTGTTTTTGCTCCTGAATTCAGTGCATTTGTTTTATTTTTGAGGTTTTTGGTTTTGTTTTGTTTTTTTTTTTAGCTTTCTTGTAGGGGAACAGAGATGTTGCTGAGACAGCAGCAAGCAATGTGGCATAGCTTGCTGTTGTTATGAATGCATCATTCTAAAATGAGCTCTGAGCACAGCATCCAGCAGCCTCCGGTGTCTGAAGGGCTACCTTGCGTGTCCAGATGTATGGCAGAGACTCAAATTCTCCAGCTAAGCACTCTGTCCAGTTAGCTCATGATTAACTATGTTTCTGAATTGTGCTAGTGCATATGTCAGCCTTTCTCTTGGCTGTAAGAGGAACGCAGTGAATGAGTTGGCTTGGATCCTGCAGTGCTTGAGTTTCAAAGCTGAGAAGTCTTTCTCTCAATGTCATCTTAGGTTGCAACCCAGTTCAAAAACAGCCTAATGAGTCTGATAGAAATCCTGATGTCCAAGGAGCCTTCTTACATCCGGTGCATTAAACCAAATGAGAACAAGGAGCCTGGTAAGGCATTAGGCTCAGTGCACTGTTGAAGTAATGGAATGAGGAGGTGCAGGGTGATTTCTTCCATACCTCTCCCAGTATATTGACACGTGAGTGGGCTTTCACGTACAGTATTTATCAGTGAATGTGTGTTTACTGCAGGGAAGTTTGATGATTGCCTGATCCGGCACCAGGTGAAATACCTGGGGCTGATGGAGCACCTGCGTGTGAGACGGGCTGGCTTTGCGTATCGGCGCAAGTATGAGCACTTCTTGCAAAGGTGAGCAGAGCTGTTTTCCTGTACAGCCAGAATCTGCCTTCCCACAGAGCTTCAGAGCAAGATTTATTTAGATGTCTGGTCCTCGTTCTAAGGCGCAGAGGCACTGGGCTTTTCCTCTGCACCAAACATAACGTTCATAGGTGGTTTTGATCTGTATCCATGTTGGTCTACTTTGAATGAAGAATAGGAACTGGGGGCTGCTCAGGGAGAAACGCCTCAACATCAATTCACTTGTAGTGATGTCCTGATGATCTTTCAGATACAAATCCCTGTGTCCTGCTACCTGGCCACACTGGCACGGGCCTGCAGCTGAAGGTGTGGAGAGGCTTATCAAGCACATAGGTTATAAGCCTGAGGAATACAAACTGGGAAGGTAAACTTCTCTCTCTAGTTCTTAGCTCTGTTGGTTGGCTGCACAGTGCTTGCCATTCTGATTGTTCTGTCTGTGACCATGAGCCCAGAGAGCTGCAAGATGTGGCAGTGTAAAACAGGTCCCTTAATTTGGTTTTTGCCTAGCCATGGCAGGCAAAATTGGGCAGAGCTACCTGGGTTCTGCAAGCCTGAGGGTATCTACTTAATGACCTTAAAACAGGGCAAAGTAAACTTACCCTGAAGGTATGGGGCAAGGAGTCCCAGATGTGTGCATCTCCACTTGCTTTTCACACTCTTGCATTTCTATGGGGCTTGAGTCCAGCCTAGTTTCTTTCTCCTCTGGGTTAGGAGGAATGGGTTCCTTTGGCTCAGCACCAAACCTGCTAGTCCAAGACAATGTGGGCTCACTGTGAATAACCTGTTCCTGGTCTCTTTTTTCAGAACCAAAATATTCATTCGTTTCCCAAAGACTCTGTTTGCTACTGAAGATGCATTTGAAATAAGAAAGCACCTGCTAGGTATGGTTCCAGTTCCCTTTATCACACAGACAGAAAAGCAGAGGCTGAGTGGGCAATGTCTGTGGGCTCCAGATGCACAGAGATGAGAGCTGATACTCCTGGTCCTGAGTGTTACCCAATTGCAGCTGCTTGAATCTCCATGCTGAAGGATGTTCTATGCAGGCTACCTTTGTTCCTGCTTTGTTAGTCCTTTGTACCTGGTTGCGCAGGACTTCCTGTGTCTGATCACTGAGGTTAGGAGCTGTGCCTTCAATCTCAGGGATCTTGTTAGGTATAAGCATGTCTCTTCTTTGCCAGTTTCAAGGCTACAAGCCAAATATAAAGGACGCCTGGGGAAGAGAGACTACCAGAAGAAGAGAAAAGCAGGTATGGGCTGTGGGATCAAGAATTCTCTTCTTAGGGTTGTTTTCTGGTAGGAGTTGTAGCCTTGAAGTCATGAATCTATTTTCTTGTGGGTAGAAATTTTTGCTTCTGTGGGTGTTAGGTTCACTAATGGCCTCAGGTTGCTCCAGGAGAGGTTCAGGTTGGATATTAGGAACAATTCCTTCCCCAAAGAGCAGTCAGGCACTGGCTGCCCAGGGATGTGGTGGGGTCATTCTCCCTAGAGGCGTTCAGGAAACGTGGAGCTGTGGCACTGAGGTATATGGTTAATGGGCATGGGGTGGGGATCTTGGAGGTCTCCTCCAATCTTAATGTTCTACAGTTCTGTAAAGATCAGCTGAAGGGAAGAGACAGCTATAATTCCTGCCTGCAATGAATTTGGAGGACGGCATGGCACAGGATCTCTGTCTAATACGTGACTCTTGCAGCTATCAAGCTGGAGGCTTGTTGGCGAGGAGTGCTGGCACGGAAGGAGGCCAAGAAGAGGACCTGGGCTGTTGAGATCATCAGGAAGTAACTATCCCCATGGGGAGGGCTGCAGGTGGTGGGTCACAGCGTGACTGTGGCTCCAGGGCAGGGAAACCAAGGCACCTTCATGCCTGTTGCTAAACTGTTCCTACTATTAGCCCGTTACGTATCTCTCGTGATGGCTGCCTTGCACTTCCACTGATTGTAACGTGGAAGTCCTGATGTGGGTATTTTCTGTAGATTCATAAAGGGTTTCATCAATCGGAAGAAACCTCTGTGCCCGGAGAACATTGAGTTTGTGCGGCTTGTGCAGTACAAATACCTCATGAAGCTCAGAGACCACATCCCCAGAAACGTCTTGGACAAGAGCTGGCTCCAACCTCCTTCTATCCTGGAAGAGGTGAGGTTTGCTGCAGGCCCCTCATCGTGCACTGACCTTGTTCAGGTTGTGAAGTTACTCAGACGACCACATTGCCTTTTTGATCTTTTTATTGCTTTTTTTTTTGTAATGTAGATATCTGAGATGCTACAGAAAATGTGCATTAGGAACCTAGTACGGAAATACTGCCAAGGCCTCACTCCTGAGAGGAAAGTGCAGGTAGCTAATGCATGGGATGCAAATGTGCAAGTTGGAAGTTGCTGCACACGTGTGATGCATGTAAATTGCCCCCAGTGTAAGCTGTTCCTTCTGACAGCCACTGCTCCTGCTGAGCAAATGCTTCTGAGCCTGGGATTGTAATGTACAGGACAGTTCTACAGATGCATAGGTCTAAATCTTGTGACGTTAAATCTGAACACCATCTAAGTGGAACAGATCCATAACAAGAGGGTCTTCTAGGCTGTTCAGTCCTTATTACAACATTACTTAGTATAATTCAGGAACAAACCAACGAAGAAATGCAGCTTTCATTTGCCTCAAGTTGCACGAGTGAGAGGAGCTTACACTACTCTATGTAACTATACATGGAGAAACTGAGAGGGTAAAGGGTGTTCTTTCTCTTAACAGTTACAGCAGAAAGCTGTCACGAGTGCCATTTTCAGAGGAAAGAAGGAGGGCTACCAGCAGAGCATAAACCTGCCCTTTGCGGACACGCGGCTGAGTGAGTACATGTGCTGGGACCCCACCATCCAATTCCTTTGGCCCATTGTGTTTGGTGGCTGCTGGCAATCAGTGCCCCAGGCCGTGCCTCAGGCTGGGGTACTTGAAATCCCTTTTTAAGCCAGAAACTTAGGCAAAAAGGCTGGGACTGAGGGGGATACGTGTGTACAGTTCTGAATGGAGCAGAGCTGATTGCTGCAGTGCAGCGTGGGGATCCAGCCTCAAGGTCTGGAGCTGCTGCGGGAGGAGATGTGAGCCTGGAGGATGTGCTCTGTTGGTGCAAAACATCACTGAAATAGACTTAAGAGTGGTTTCTAAACCATCAGTTTAAAAGAGTGATCTAATGAGACAAGGATTAATGGGATTGAGGCAATGAATGCATCTGTTTGGTGTTCCCAAGACTGGTGGAACAGCAGTCTGCCACCTACATTCACTTTGTCTTTCTGGTTTGATCCACAGAAGAGACGGATATAAACCCCAAAGTTCTGCAGCTCATACAGGGCGAGAAGGTGAAGGTAAGGAAAGAAAACAGGAGCTCAGCAGCTGTGTCCACATCCCAGGCCCTGCAGCCCCATGTAATGCCACAGAAGGAGGTGCTGATCCGAGCTCCTTGTTCACAGTATGCAACTCCTGTGGTCAAATACGACAGGAATGGCTTCAAAGCACGGGAGCGCCTGCTGGTGTTGACCCAGTCCTCGGCGTATGTGGTGGAAATGGCCAAGATCAAGCAGAAAATAGACTATGCCACTTTGAAAGGTAACAGTGCAAATCCAAGTGGGGCTGCTTCTGAGGCTCAGTCTGTCCAGGGCGCTGCAAAGAGAATGCTTGAAGCAGTGCTCTCTCTGAGAACACTTTTTGCTGCAGAATGGCCAGAACAGCTGTGTGTCAGTGTGCTGTTTTTCTGCAGGTATTTCTACCAGTAATCTGGGTGATGGGATCGTGGTCATCCATGTTCCTGAGGACAACAAACAAAAGGTAGAGAGATGAAATATCACTGATAATTTGTGGTTAGAAACAATGATGCTTCTCACATTTCATTTAAAATACTCAGATATATGATTATCAGGGTTTATTAACTCATGGTCATCTCTACTTTTGAATTCTTGTTGTTTTACCATGAAAGCATTCTCTTTTCGGAGCCAAAGTTGCTACAAATCCTAAATAGGCTCTGGAATGGATGTTTAACTAATCAGAGTTGTAGGTGGCCATTGCTCTGCAGCCAGGGCTGTGCAGAAAGGACTCCTCTGAACACACGACTGCTGGCTGGGTTACGTGTAGGTACGCTGCCCATTGACCTTGTGCCCCTCTTTTTGCTTCCAGGGAGATGTGATACTTCAGTGTGAACATATCTTTGAGACGGTCACTAAGCTCTGCATGCTGGCCAACAAGCAGAACCTCGTTAAAGTTGTGAAGGGAAGGTAAGGAAGACAGTCAGCATGACCTGCTATGTTTGTTTTCTGCTGCTGTGACCTGGGCCTGAGGTTGTGGGCTCAGTATCCTCCCAGCAGATCCCATTAGTGCTGGCTCTGTCCGAGGACAGCCTGTGGGGCTGAGCTGGGGGTCACTTTGGGATAAATGCTTCTCCCTGAACTCAGAAGGCCTCCAATTGTGATGGCTGAGTGCAGGAGCCTCCTCGGTCACACCAGCTAAAAGCAGGTGGATGCAGTCCATCTCTCAGATCTATACAGAAATTGGAACTGGCGTGTGAAACCTGCTCTTCTGTTCCAGCTTTTCTCTCTGGCCTTTGCGTTTCAATTGTAATTGGATTCTTTCTGTTCAGTGGTCTTCTCCAGGTCAGATCTGCTTATCTTCTAATGCTTAATTGCTCCAGGAAAATTCAGGTGCCCAGACTAGGCAGGCATGCTGCATTCATCAAACCCTCTTGGGCTGTATGGTATAATGCAGTTGTTTAGGAAATTTACCTAAGCTGAAGGGCTCTGATCTTCTAATCTAACAAGATTTGCTAAGGGAACAGAAATAAAGTGGGCTTAGAGTAAAGCCTATTGTGAGGAAAGCACTGCAGAAGTAATTGTCTGTGTTTGCAGCCTTCGGTTTCGCATTGGCTCTGGGAAGGAAGGGACAATGGTGTTCACTGTTGGGCCGGAGCCCCATGTCTTTAAAGCCAAAGATGGACAGCTTACAGTGGTAAGGCCTCATCAGGGCACTGAGAGCATGGCTTTGGCTTTTCCCCCTGATGCTCACCCCTTATGAGGAACACGGTTAAGTCTTGGAAGAGAGTTGTCTTTGTGAAACAGTTGTGAAATAGGAATCTCAAGGACACACGGTTTGTATTTAACTTACTGACTCCTTTCTCTCATTCCAGGTGTCAAACCAGGCAAAGTCTTGATGAGAAACAGTTCCAGTTTCTGGTCATCAGAAATGGAAAGGAGCCTGCAGGCTGTGACCAGCACCTGCAGCACCCCTGCAATCTTTGATGCCATAGGGTTGCTGTGACTTGAGAGTTTGCTTGCATCTTTTAGGTACTTTTTTTTTATAGCTTAAAACTACTGAGCTGTATCTAAATAAATTCATCACCTTGCTGTAATGTTCCAGGATGCATAGATCCTTGTTACATGCTGTCACAGGGTATTGTTTAGGTAGCTGCACAAGTAAAATGTCAATCTGTGCACCTAATAACCTGTAGCAGAGCTCTGAAGGAAGGATTCAAAAGGAAACGACTTCTCCAGGCTGTGTTTTGAGTCACTGTACTAACCAGGAGAAACCATGTGAAGTACAGGTGAATGGAGTTCAGTCTCTCAAGCAGCATGCAGAGGTATGTTTGTAAATGTAGCAGTGAGGTTGGCACAGGTATTCCTGAGTTGGTGTATCATCTGGAAATCCCAGGAAGATCCTTCCTTGTTTCCAGGCACGGGGGAAGGAAAACGTCTTAAAGTAGTACTGTCCTTGCTTCTCCCTGCAAAGCAGCTATGCAGTGCAGTGAGGCTCCACAAGTGGTGATGAATGGGACAGGTGACCACACTTTTTTTTTAAGAGGGGACATGCTGATTTGGTATAATTTGGTTCAGAGGAAACCTTCAGCAGCAAGAGACTGAAGCTTCGTCTCCCTTTGAGGAGCTGAGATTCTGCTTGCTCCTTAGGAGTGCAGTTCCCTCTAGCTGCATATTTTGCCAGCTATGAAGAGGTAGAATACAGGAATTCCCTTTGCTCTCTCTGGTGCCTCGTGTTGAGGCCAATCTGTGTAGCTCCTGCTTGACTGAGGCTGCAGCCTGAATGAGAGCCAGATCACTGGTGCCTTGGCTGTGAGTGGTTCCAGGAGGTAAAGCTGATAGCTAGGGGAAGGTGTGTGGTATTTCTTACTGAAAGTTCTTTCTAGCTCCAGGGACCATGAGGACAGTGTGTTAGCTACTGAACTTCAAGCAAGTAATAAATCAACTCATGTAAATATGAAATATCTTCTAATTTATTTCATGTTATGCTTTAAAAAAAACAAACAAAAAAAAACCAAAACATTGCAAACAACAACCATACACTGAAATCCATCTTAAGGTTTTTTTGTGTGCATAAAATAGGAGGGAATGATTGTACAGAACACGAAACAAAACAACTCCATTAAGACTAAAAGGTAAGACTGGAGCGTGGAGACTTCCACAAGGGCTCTGAACAGGTGATGTCCTGCAGCAGGCGGAGCTCAGTGTGGGCTCTACAATCTGCCTTGTCTGAATACAGGAGTGACTGCTTTGCAAGAGCAAATGCATTCCCAGCTTAGCCCTAAGCCAGGGGCTGGTGTTACTGGACTGTTTGGCCCTAACTGCATCACAAGCTACTGATTTGTAGGTAAGCTTTTCTACATTACTCCAATGGAGGGGGTTGGAAATAGCCTGCAGGCGTAAGATTTCAGTTGGCTCTGTTCTGCTTCAGCATTAGTGGCTGTTGTTGGGTGCTGGAGGGAAGCATGCATGAATCAAAGCAGGCAGGTCAGCACAGTTAACATCATGCAGCACTAGCTAATCTAAAGAACTGCTTGGGGCCAGGGTAGCTGCCTCGTACCCCTCTGAAAGCTCTATTGGCAAAACCATTTAAAGTAAAAGGCTCGGGAGCTGAGAGCATTTGTGCAATGGCATTAAGTGGCTGTGGGAGATGTTCTTGTTTTACTGAGAGACTTAATGAACAAGGGCAAGCAGCCAGTAGGTAAGGGATGTTCTAACAGCGGACGGTGGTACATCTTTGTTACACAACTGCAGCAATTAAAGTTAGGAGTGTGTTACAGATCAGAAACTTGTAAACAGCTCAGTCGTGTCAAAGTACACAGTGCCAAAGAGAGCACACGCCCCAGCTTATCACATAAGGCAAGAAGGGAGAGGCACTGTGTCCTGCACACAAACAGCCTGAACTATGGACTTGTATGAACCCAAAGTGTGTTGCACTGGTGACAAACGTGTGTAAGTACAGCTTAGAAGAAAAGCTGAAGCTGCTGAACTGCAGTGTAACCACTGTGTCTGGGTACTACTCAGTTCTTACTCATCAGTCAGGAGGAGACAGGGACAACAACCACTCTGCCACAGCCCCTGTCTGAAACTTGAAGTCTTTGGTTAGGAGGAAGGCAACTTCAGCCTAACGCTGAAAGCTGTTAGTTGTACACACTGCTGCAAAACTGCTTACTGCTTTATTTTACATCCCAGATAGCTGAGCTGCAGAGGTTGCTACTGAAACAAATCAGTAACACAGCTGGTGATGTTGACTGTGCCTTTGGTTTTTGAAATGTCAATATGCCACAATAAGCCCTGAGCCAGGACTAGGAATCCTTACAGCAGGAAACCTGCAGAAGCGAAGGACCTCACTGAGTGATGCAGAGCTGCCACTGTGGGACACCCAGCCATTGGGGCCAGCAAAAAGTACTCCAGGTGAAGAGTCAACAAGGTCTAAAACAGCCAAAGTACTCTGGAGTCTGTCCCAGTGGCACCTGACTGAAGTTTAAGACTTCCTACTGCTGGTTCTCTCTCTCAAGCTTTTTTACATTAACCATTACAGCTGCAGCTCTTCTCATTCTCCATTAGCATCCAATCCTAGTGAATAATACGCTCTCTTCTGCCACTCTGATACTTGACTCCACACTAGGCAACACAAGACTAGGAGGTAGATAAAAACATCCATTCATTACTACTCTCAGAAAACCAGACACTACAGCATTCTCTGCACAACATTTCAGCTTCATCCTTTCATATACAGCTGCCATTTCTGCCGAGAGACTTGGAAAATGCTCAGGTTAAAGGCAAACAGGGATTAACCTCTTCTGGGCCTTCAGCTCTATACCAGCACTCTGCACTGCCCTCTCTCAAAGCCGCTGCTCCTGTAACAGCTGCAGAACTGAGCTACAGCTGCTGGCCTCCTGCCTACACAGGGCTGGCACTGTGTGTCAACCTGTTACAAATTTTAACCTGTGGTAAAGAATGCACAGCTTACTGATGGGTGAACTGAGGGAAATAAACTTCCCAACAGCGATGTGGGGTCAGGCTTTGACTGGTAGCAATGCCAGCCTAAGGGAAAGCCACCAGGCACAGTTAGCTCCTGCTCCTTCTCTTGAAGGAATTTCAACATCTCCCATCCTTGAATCATACCAAAAAAGTGGGGATGGGCCTCTCCACAACTCAGTGCAGGAGAAGCTCCACTGAACCATGGAAGGGGGGCCTGAGAGCAGTGGGAAGCCACAGCCACCTGCACAGTCTGGCAGCACTGGGTTCCCTCTGCCTCAAGCTTCTCCTGCTACCACCTGTCCTGCCAGCAGTCACAGTGAGGCACTCCTGAGCTACCAACCTTATTGCCTTCTGACCTGGAAGGAAGGGAGCTCTGCAGCAGCTCCACTGTGCTTCTGCCATGCTGCAATGCCTAGGAGACTGGGGCAGAGAGAGCCAGGAGGGAAGGTATGTGGCTGCCTGACTTCTGTTGTTTTGTTTGTTTTTTAAAGTGCAGGATAATTACTAAAGCCAAAGGAAGCCAGTCTTCTTTCTCACTAACCACAAAATAGCAAAGACAAGAGGGCTACAAACTCAGGGCATTTCTCCAGATGTTCAGAGGGCTTTTTACATACCTACCATACGCCCAGTAACCTTATTTATTCTCATCCTAGAACTACCTCGTTTAAATACCCCAGATAACCTACTGTGTTACAAAACGTAATTTACAGACTCGTTGAACAAAGAGAAGCTGCCTGGTCCCCTGCTGCAGACAATCCATCAGGAGAAGGGCAGCACCTTCCAGACAGACCCCTGCAGCCGCCGCTCGGCTCACTGGTGCAGGTGGGCTCTGTCATCCGGACGCTTGATGTGGATCCTCCGCACGCGTTCGATGCGCTCTCGCTCCTCATCTTCCTCCAGGTGATGGGAGCGGCCAGCTGCCCCTCCTGTGGCTTCCAGGAGTGCGTTGTCAGGTCCCCTGCCATCCTGGGACTCGTACAGCAGAATGTTCAGTGTCTCCTCGTAAATGCGGGCTTCTGGGAACTCCACCTGGCCACCGAGAGAGAAGGCCGCTCTTACCTGCTGCAGGCACCTCGCTTCTCCTCCTGAAACTTCCCTGTTTTTAAACATGTCTTAGCTGTACTCCACCCACACAAACCCATCCTAGCACAAACGTTTTGCTATTTGCCTTCAGCTTTTAATCCCAGCTGGCAGTTTTTTCAGAACTGGCCAAACGTCTCTGCAGGGAGGTATGCCACTGCCTTTACACAGGAATGGACAACAAACGTGATGAAGTGCACAAGTTTGTCTGAAGATAAGAACTGGACTGAACTTGCATTATGTAACACCATAATTGCCCTGTGTCAAGCGCTGCATCCAGTCAGTCCCTGCCCCAGCAAACCCACAGGATGAGCTCCACTACGCTGCTCTCCCATTCTGAATGGCGTTGATTATTCTATAGAGATGCTAGACAATGAAAAGCGTGTTCAGAACGGAACAGATGTCAGGGTGCCAGCCTGAAAGCAGTGGCGCCCCGCTGCTGTTTACTGTACCTTTGTCTGTTTTTTCTCAGTAGCATAAACAATGGAAGTGCAACAGACTTCAGCAATCTTCCGTCCCTGCCCGTAGAAAGACCAGCAGCAGATCTCGTCTCCAATCACATCCTTTATGAAGAGCACTCTCCCATTAAACCTCAAGGACAGCTTATCAAATAGCTCAATGTTTTTCAGCATGTTGTCGTCAGAGTTGCTGTGAGAGACAGAGAAGGCAGCGGTCGCATCAGGGTAATTCAAATAGTAATGCAGAGCAGAAGGATTCAGGCAGTGAGCATTTGCAGGCCCACAAGCCCAGCTTCCTTTGATTTACTGCACATCAACAGCACTGTGAGTAACGCTCGGGCAAAATGGATGTCAAAGGCCATTTCATCCTCACAGACACATGAAACCCTTCCTGAATTCAAGCTTAGCACCAGCTGGATGAAGACAGTGTTTTGTCATGAAACTTACACACAGACATAAGGAATGGCAGACAAGGTCCCAGACTTCATGATTTTACCACTTATTGACAATGCTATGGCAGGCTTTCTGTATTCAGCCAAAGTGCTGCAGCCCACGGGGAGTACAGGCCAGCAGTTGGCCAGGAGTCTCCACCAGCTGCACCTGGGTGCTAGAGGAACCCCCATCATAGAAATAGCACGTGCTCAGCCTTCTGTGGATGCCAGTAGGCCCTCCTGACTCAAGTTTGAAACTAATTGGGAAAATACTGAGCTCATGCCAGCTCCAATCTGTCACCGGTTCCGAGTGTAGAAAAAGCAAATACGTATCACGGAATTGAGTCTGTGAACAACTTCAAAGAACTACAGGTTCAGTCATTTACCTGGTGTAGGAATATTTGTTGTTGCTTCTGTTGTATAGCAACTTCACTGCCGGCTGTAAAAAAGCCAACACACACATCAGTTAGAGGACATGCAGTAAGCAATGGAATCCCAGCTCCAGCACCGCACGGCAGAGGAGCTGCAATATGAAATGACACCATTAGGCTCAAACTCGATGGGATTTTGTTGTTGCTGTTGCAAAACTGTTGTGTACCAGCTGGTAATGGAGACACAATCCCTTCTGATCCCTTCTGGGACTAGACTGTAATTCATCCTCACCCACCACAGCCAGCAGGCAGAAACAGGAGTCACCGATTCAACGTAGCTGAAGAAACCATCTGTTGTTGTTTATCAGAGCAGACAAACCAACGGAAGACCTAACAGCCTTGATGAGCTGCTCCATCAGCCTGCTTTATCTACGGCCTCCACTGTAACACCTTACGTGGAGACAGACATGGCCTGACCAACATCTGACTTTTAATTTAGAAGACACATTTAGCCTGCTGTAGATTTCCAGCTCAAATGCTAAACGTCATTTCTTAAGGACTTGGTCAAAATCCCAAGCACATCCCAGCATCCTCTCAAGCTACAGCACAGTCTGGTCTTTCTTACCTTGTTAGAAGTGGCTATAAGTTTTTGCTCTTCCTTGGAAGAAGTGATAACTGGTACCTTGCAGAATGGTTCGTATGCATCTTTGTTCTGCTGAAACAAGAACCAAACAGCAGCTGAATGTACACAGCCCTTAAGGCACACTCTCATGAGCTGGGAACGTCCTGCATTT